GTTTTTCTATTCAAATTTGTATCCCAGGAGTGTCCGAGTGGTGTGGTTAATGAGGAGAGTTTTAAGACCATTTACTCCCAGTTCTTTCCACAGGGAGGTGAGTTATCCACTCTGACCATCAAACCCTAAACCACCGAACTAATAATGTTGTTAACACTGTACTCTTTCTCTGCATTTGAGGTTAAAAAAAATAATAATTTATTTAAGACTGTAGAAATACACACAGAGCTATCCATCATCGCACTGAAACCAACATAATTAAGTTATTATAAATCAGTCCTGCTGAAATATCGTACGGCGCTGGGAAAAAGTCAAGGCGATTTTTCACTGTGATTTTTAGCTTGATAAAATGTTAACCGCTCGCCTCCAGTTTTATTTGAAATTATATTTAGTTAGCTGTTCAGAGACGTCGCTTCGTTTTTCGAGGTCGGACAGATAACTGAGAGTGTGTCTTTCACAGATTCAAGTATGTACGCACATTTCCTGTTTGAAGCATTTGACACAAACAAGAACGGCTCAGTAAGTTTCGAGGTGAGTCTATTCTTCTATCGGCATCTTTCTCAGAGATGAAAGCACATTTGTGATCCAGTGAAACTTGCCGCCACTGCAGTTTTAACACAAATATGAGTTTCCTCTAAACACCTGCCGGGAGAGATTAATGCTGCGTCAAGATGTGAGAGGTGCCAAACTCTGCAGTAAATCATTCTCCTCTCTATCTCAGGACTTCGTGTTTGGCCTGTCGATCATTCTGAGAGGGACCATTAATGATCGGTTAAACTGGGCGTTTAACCTTTATGACCTGAACAAGGATGGCTGCATCACCAAAGAGGTAACATCACACACACACAGACACACACAGACACACACAGACACACACAGACACACATTTGTGCTGGTTTGCTTCTGAACAGGCTGAGGCTCATTTTGTTAAATGTGCCTTTAAAATCTGGAGGAAATTAGATTTGGAAATGAGCTGCCAAAACCTTGATAAGTAACTACCAACTTTTATTTTGAAACTGAGATTTTAGACCTGCTGTGTTTAATATGCCGAGCTCCAAGTCACTGTGACAAAAGAAAATGTGACAGGTGATATATTTGATCAGCAAAATTAAATTCACACATTCCTTATAACTAATAGGCAGATTTTTTTTTTTTAATTTAATCAAACGATTCAATGATTTAAAATGAAAAAGATTCAGACGACCTGAAACACAAAAGACTAAAGAAACTTGATCATGTCTTCATGAGCAACTTTACGGAGAAAGTAACAGACGGATTGACCTGAAATTTTAACCAGAGGTGTGTCTCAGCCCCTGGAGGATCCCATTTGGTGGTGATCCAGACAAAATTCTGGATACTGTGATCCAGAACACACAAAAATAAGGGTGTTGTTGGAATTTTCAATGCTGAAAGATAACCAATGGGCGGCACAGTGGTGTAGATAGGTTGTACAGTGGTGTAGTGGTTAGCACTGTCGCCTCACAGCAAGAAGGTCCTGGGTTCGAATCTGGGTTGGGGCATTTCTTGTTTTAGGAACATTATGAACAGTGAACATACCAGTTTAAACACAAATAAAAGTTAATAAAAGACACGTAACAGTAAAAGTTTTGGTGTGAATCACAATATAAGGGGGGACATGAGCTGCTTGGCGGAGGTCTGCGCTCTCCGAGTGCTTTTCTAGTTTTATTTATTATTTCTTAAATTTCATTTTATGTTACTTTGTTTTTAGATTTTAATCTAAACCTCCAGTTTTTCCTTATCTTGAGTTTTAAAATGACGTTTCCTCAGTGTGCACATTCCTGTTTCCACGAAATCAAGCCTTTTTTTTAAGTTTATGCATTTTAATACATGTTTCTGTTGCATTTAGATCATGGGGTGGGAATGAGGGGTTGGGCTGGGGTAGATTTGGGTATTCTTTGTTTCTTTTATTCCTTTTTCTGTGTAAAACACTTTGTGCTACATGTTGTGTATGAAAAGTGCTATATAAATAAAGACTGATTGATTGATTGATTGATTGATTGATTGATTGATTGATTGATTGATTGATTGATTTTGAGGTTTTTCATAGTCTTTCTGCTTTTGTCCTTCCCTGTGCAGGAAATGTTGGACATCATGAAGTCCATCTATGACATGATGGGGAAGTACACTTACCCCACTATGCAGGACGATGCTCCAAGAGAACATGTGGAGAGTTTCTTCCAGGTCAACATCAAGAGATCATTTTTATTTTATGTGCACCAGAGAATCATTTTGTGAAATTAAGTGTATAACTTTTGCAAATGGAGCAGCGGTAATGGCTTCACTTGCCAGCAGCCCCTTGGCTGTAAGAAACCTAATAAGCAAACACAGTATTATTAGAATAAAGAGCATGTCAGAGCCAAAAGTGATTCTTTGTACTAAGTTTAAGAGAAAGTCTCTCAAATGAATCAAAAAATGTGCACAAGATAAAGTTTAACACCTTTGCAGAACTTTTTTCTATAAGTACCTTTATGGTTTCCTTTTTTTTGTAGAAAATGGACCGGAATAAAGACGGGGTGGTCACCATAGAGGAGTTCATCGAGTCATGCAAAAAGGTAAGAAGGAGAGGCTGATTTTCAACTTACAACATTTTTAGCACTTGATTCTTCATAAAACCACAAATCTTTTATTGTGTTACAGTTTTAGGTAATTCAATAAAGACAGTGTTTAATGCTAAGCTTAAAGGATGCCTGTATATTGTTTCACCCTCTTTGTTTTAAGTGACATCAGTGGTTGCCTTACTTCCTGTCTGAATACTTATCGTCTGATATGACGGCGTCTTCTGTGTTTTTGTCTAACTCCAGAAAGCAATGTACCACAAAAAAAGTGAACCTTTGCCTTTAACCTCATCGTCACATTTTAAGAGAAACTAAAACCATTTCTTCATCCTCTCCTCTTTTCGTTGTCTAGGATGAGAACATCATGCAGTCCATGCAGCTATTCGACAACGTCATCTAAAAGTCTGGATCAGAGACAACACAGGCACCAGGGAGGGGACTGTGTGAGTGAGTGTGTGTGTAAGTGGGGTGTAGATTCAATAGAGAGAAAGCTTACGACTGTGCGCGTGTGTGTGTGTATGGCCGTCTTTCGGCTTGTGCTTGTGTTGAGAGCTGTGAGTCCTGAAGGGTCCAAAAGACCCTCTCCCGCTTCCTGGATCCCTGGTGGCATTTTTCCAAGCAACAATGGAGGTATCCCGAGTCCCTCGCTCATCATGCAGAACCTTAGTTTTACCCCAGAGACACAGAGGAGGACGACAATGCAGCAGGCACACCCGAGAACACCCTTTTGTTTTTTTTTACTTCTGTGAATTACCATTACTGATGGAGGAACTATATCAGCCTTTAATGGTGACGTTACGATGTTCAAGGATTTCTTTCCCCCTTTTTTTCACATGTTGGCCGAGATTTGGATTTTAGGAATCTGATCCTGCCTTTGCGCATGTGGGTGACACACCTCCCTGGAGCCACCAGACTGCTCGAGCCCCAGCCACGAGAATAGAATTGAGTCTGCCGCCACCTAGTGGAGAGAGAAAGACACTTCTGGAGGAGACAAATTTGAGATCCGGGCGATCCTGTTTCATGGAGGTCTACCACGAGAAACTGATTTCAATATCGCATGATGATGTCACTAATATTCAATTATGTATTTACAGAGATACTCCAAAGTCTGCTTGTCTGTCTGCTGTTCCCGGTCATTCACAGGTGCCTCACCCTCTGTGTATGTGTGTGTGCATGTGTTACAGAAAGAGATGTCATCCATCTAACCCATGTGAGAGTCTTAACGGGATCCCGCTGGTTGGACTCTGGAAGAATAATGTCCGGCCTTTCGAGCTATTACAGTCCTAGCAGTAGGTGTCTTATGACTGTTGTACATTTTATAGCATTCCCAGAGGTGTGGTGTTAGGCAGTACAAGGTGGGGATTGCACTATAGTTGAAGTATCAAGCTGTTTTGACCACCCCCAGTCTCTTTAAACACAGGACTGATTTCCCACAGTCCTTCTAGTCTATCAATTTACATTCAAAAGGAATTTAATAGATTGCAGATTGTACTTGTGAACTTCTTGTAATTGGAAATGTCATGTGGTTGTAGCAGGTTCTACCGATCCCCCTCCTCCTCCTCCACCACCACCATCACCACCACAAAAAAAAAAAAAAGAACAAATCAATCCCCTCTTTGCATTAAATTAGGCTCATTTGATTTAAAATAGGTATAGTATGTGTGTGTACTGTTATCATGAGAGACATTTACACTTCTTAGGCCCCGTTTCATTCATTATCCCGTTCTCCCTCTCTCTGCAACACCAAAGAGAAGATACAAAGAGATATAAATAAAGCCGCTCTAAGTTGAAACATAAAGCCCACCCTCGGGTGAAGAGAGAGGGAGAGGCTGTTTGGTAAGTAAGGCAAGGGGCAATCAGAGAAAGATCTTCTGTTCTAGTGAGCTTTCATTACGGCTTACTCACACCCACATGTTCTTCTATAATGAATAAATCATCGACTTAAAAAACTCCAAGATGATACAAGCAGAGAACTGATGCCTCGGTGAAATGGTATCAGCAGCTCAGAGACACTGAACCCTGACGTGGAATAGCAATAATATTCTCCATATGAATAGGACACCTTTCCACTCACTCATCCTCTCATTCCTCGTAGAGCACAGTTTAAGGGTGCATTAAGGCCCTGATGAAAATATGCACTCCCAACCCTTCATTTATTTTTTTTTTTCACCTGGATTCATTTTTTATTTCTATCATATCAGAAAAAAAAGTCATTCTCTGATTGGTCCTTGCCTACAGTCTCCGACTCCCACTCCTGACCACGAATAAAACCTGTCTATACCCGCATGTACTGTGTCTAGAAATCCTACTAACCCGCTGTACCAACTGTCTAGTTAGCTAGCCTCAACTGGTTGCATTACGTATTTAAATTGTGTATATTTTGTACAGAGACAATAAAAATCACAGTTACTATGCAAAGTGGGCTGGAGTTTGAATTTTAAAGGCTGTACGTAATCGTCTTTATTCACGTAAGACAGTGCTTTCAGCTTTACATTTCAAAATATACAGTACAAAGCAAAGATCAAGTGTTTTTGCCGTATAATTTATCCAACTTTAGCGATGTTTCATAACTTAAATATACATAATTACACATTTGATCCCAACAGCCACGTCTGATTATGAAAAGAAGGCGAGCAAGCGCTTGGTAATATTCTGTGAAACTTCGTACATAAACATCATCATCTGCAAATCAGTCAACTTAGCACATTCCTGCAGAAATCTGGCAAAAGTGAAACATGTACCCTTCAATCAAAATCCTTCTGCTGCTCTTTTAAAGCAGAGTAGAAAGTCACATTAAGCTTGTTCTGCTTTCTTCTTCATCCGTGTTTGAACAGCTCACACTTCCTCGGCGTCCTCTGATCACGGCATTCATCCACGAACGGCTCAGCCAGTTCCTCGCTGACAGCCTTGATGTATTCTTGTTCTCTCACTCACTCAAAAAACACTCAAAAAAAAAAAAAACACAGCTCTGCTTTGATAAAGGTGTGATGAATTTGTAGCACTTCAGGATAATTGCTTCAGCATAAAAGTCGAGTAGCAGAATTAAAACACTTCTCAGTGTTTAACGCCTCCATGTTTTCAAATTAGACAGCGAGAGGATTCTTCATGACAGCAGTGATGACTCTTGAAAGGGCTTCAGTTGTGGCTAGGAGAGACTGGATTTGTCCACATTAGAGCAAACATCTACTTGGGCATCTTGCGGAGCTCTGCCAGAACCCAGATTGCCAGCGAGAGAAGAGCCACAGAGCCGGACTGGTGAGTCGCTGCCAGTGGAGTGGGAACGTACAGTAACAAGGTGCTGATACCGAGGGCGACCTGAAGAGCAAAAGCACACAGACTGTCAAGAATGAGAGGTGAAGTCTTTTTAGTTCATGTGTCAGGGCTTACTGCCAGCATACCTGTCCATAAGCCATCGCTGTGAGGAGGCTTATTGCGATCTTGGCTCTCCGAGGAATCATCATCCGCCTTGAGAACAGATAGAGACCTGTGATCGCCGTCAAAGATGAGATAGCCTAAAAAGTCAAGAGAGAAAGAAAAACTCCTTTACCAACTGGCATGAGAAAAACTGAAAGATGATGTTTCAATTAAAGGCAGGCGCTTTGATTTCTTACCAGAACTCTGTGGTCGAACTGGACAGTTGTGGGATTTTCAAAGAAGTTCTTGAGGGCTGGGGAGAAAGCCAGCAGATCATCCGGGATCCACCGCTCCCCCATCTTAGGGAAGGAGTTGTACACCAGGCCGGCATCCAAACCAGCAACAAAAGCACCTGGTTACAGTGGTTCAAAGAGAGCAGCATAAGTATGGCGAGAATTAAACACTTCAAAAACTCCGGATTATTATATACCTATCAACCTTTTGCATATGCTGTAATACCTGAGCTTTTTATTAAAACTGAAAGCATACACCCACCCTTTCATGTTTACTAAAATATAACATTTATACAAGACAATAAAGTACCTGAAAGAGCAGTGAGGAAGACAAGACCACCAGTGCCCTTTGCAAACCTCCTAAGCGTCAGGAGTCTTTTGGTTTCTGCCATCTGTCAAAGAGGTGCCACACAGACCAAGTTCACAAGAGTGCAAACAGAAACTGTAACAGGTGTGGACCAATGGAGAGGGGTTTACTCTGTACCTTGTGTACAGGCAGCAGCAGAGTGAGACCTGTCCAAAGACTGGCACAGTAGAGCAGTAAGGCTGAACCGAGGTGGGCACTTAGGCGGTACTGACTGACACGAGGGATGTCATACGACTCGGGTTTCTCCTCCAGACCACTTTTTACCATGTACCACCCTAAGAGACCCTGAGAGACACACATGATGGTACAGTCTTTTAATATGTTCCTGACATTATATCTACTAAAAACAAAAGGTTCAGTAAGGTTACATCGGCACTGTTGCACTCACCTGGAAGAAGACAAATCCACAAAGCCCCAGCACCTTTCCCTTCATGGAGCGGGTGAAGTATCCTTTCCTCCAGAAGTAAATGGTGGGGAGGATGTATGCGAGTCCGACCAGCCTTCCCCACATACGGTGTCCCCACTCCATGTAGAAGATGAACTTAAACTCTGGCAGGGTCATGTCATGATTCATTCTGGAGAAACAAGTATTGATCTTTTATTCAAATTTGAACATAGTTTTTTAATCTCATATCTTGATCTATTTCCAAACCTAGGGCAGTTAAACTGTCATTAACTGTAATGGTGCATCTCTGAAAATTTACAAGTGTGTAATAACGATGTAAGAGATAAGATGTTGCCTTACATTTTAAATTCTGGAAACTGTTGGTACTTGGAAAATTCAGCCTCCCACTCTGCCTGTGACTGTGGCGGCTTCATCTCTCTCACCAGATGCCAGTCCACCATGGAGAGCCCGGATTCTGTTAGTCTAGGAAAACAATGCACAGTAAGTACATGTTTAAAAGTACACAAAGATGATAATCATATACACATAAAAAAAACCTCTTTTACCTCGTGACACCTCCCAAAACAACTGCGCCCACCACCAGCCCACTACAGCCGAGTAACCAGCGACCTAGTATGCGATTTGTTGCTGCGTTTGGGACAGTAGCTGCTGTGGGTGTGGAGGAGGCCCCCACCTCTGCTGTGATGGTGCTCTGACTTCTCTTCACGAGCCATTGACGTAGCTGTGGATTTCTCTGATTAAAAAAAAAAAAAGACAATAGAGTTAAGTTGAAATAATACTGGACTAAAAACTAAGGCATAAATAATGAGCAGTGCAAACTTTCATGGAGGAAGTTAAGCTCAGCAGTAGTGTGATGGAGAGATGCAGGAGGAGCAGGTGTTTGATAGTAAAGCAGAAGGACAAAAAGAGGATGAGGAAAGTAAGGCTGGGCGATAAAACGATAATGATATATATCAAAAAAAATGTCCCTCGATATCAAAATGAAACATGGTCAATATGCTTTTCGATAGTCGGCATTCTGCCATGTTTTAGTAGACTATACAAATTGCCAATGAAAAGGGGAGTCGCTCCACTTTATTACGACTATATGCTCCTTAGTAATTACTTTATTCTTGAAATTTCGCCGTATTGAGTAATCGTTGAAAAAAAGATGATCTCCAATCAATAAATAAAAATAAATATCACCTGCACCCTCTCTCCTGAATCCACGCTGTAATATTCACAATACAAGCATGATGCAAATATCACTTATGGATGTTAGAGTAAGATGTCAGAGAGATTTCAACACATTTCAGCTGACAAACGGAGCAGTAACCTGGTTTATGAATCAGCTCTGATATCTAATTTCCACTGTAATGCTTATAAAGGGTCATTTGAGGTGAATTTAGCTGCTGTTATCAGAGTAAAGGGTTGACGTTTTTCCTACAGCGTCTGACCTTTTTCCTGCTTATGTTAACGGCTAATGTTAGCTTTATACTCACACTGCTGTGTTGAAATCCCCTGTTAGCGTGTCTGCAGCTACAAAAGACCGACGTCCGCACTGAAGAGAGTAACATGGCTGTGTCTTAGTGTTCGCCGAACCTGAGCTGCGCTTGTCGGTGCTGTTTTGAAAGGTTGAAGCTTAGGTAAAAAGCTGCTACAGGATGTTACAAAAGCATGTTTCCTAACAGAGTTCAACTCTGACCTCGCGGCGTCACTCATCGACGCATTAGTCATAAATTCTCCGATTTATTTATTTCATTTTATTTTTCGTTTTAAACTAATTTAAATGCGATTACCATAATCAAAGACAAAAAATAAAATAAAACTAATTTTAGAAACGTTATCGTAGAGAAACAGGATGTCCGTGTCGGCGGGGCGTGATTCAAATCTTGGCGTATCCCGCATGGGCGGCCACATTCCCTTCGTTCACCCCCGCCCATTCGACGAAGCGCATGTGAGTGAATTGAACGGACCAGGAAAACGCTGATCTACTTAAGACTTGTCAGTGACATTTACAGCATGTACTGATTTCATCTCGCTCAGTAGGGACTAATGAACCGATAAGAGGTGGATTTGACAGGTAGCTGTAACAGTAAGAACTGCTTGTTAGAAGGCATGATCACGAAGTACGACGATTTAACCATGAGTGTGTCCATGTCTGTGTTTCTGTGTCAGTGTGCAGCCTGTCAGGATGGCAGAGGGCTTTTTAATGGAGGTGTGTGTGGACTCAGTGGAGTCTGCTATCAATGCTGAACGAGGAGGTTGGTAAAGTGTAACTACTAACACTATTGTGGCCTTTTTTCCACTATCAAAATCACATTTGCACTAGTACTGAAGATTTGATTAAAGCACTTTAACCATTAGGGGAGACCGGGGTAAGTTGAGCCACCCCCTGCTGCTTGAAAATGGTAAAAAAAAAAAAAAAAAGATCATGTGACCAAATATTTAGGAGATGGGCATCAATTCATGGAGCCTGTGATAGTGATGGGCACAGCAGTTCTTTTAGATGTACAGAATCACTAGAATCAGTTCACTAAAAGATTCGTTCAAATGAGGATCTGAGTTATGAGCTGATTCACACTAACACTTCTGAATCTACGAGATTCAAAAGGTTTGGAGACATGACCATTCTCATATTACTATGTTTTTTTTTTGTTTTTTTTTTTACCAAACAGCTTTTTAGCAGTTATATACAATAATAATAATAAAAATAATTATTGTACCAGTTGAATAGCGCATAATAGATAAAAATACAAATGAATGTGAAGAAGTGACTGTTATTTAGGGAGAGAGAAGGTGAGGGAGGGCTGGGATGGAGAGTGAAGGGGTTGTAGGGATATGGCTCAACTTACCCGATACATGGGGTAAGTTGACCATGGGAGACCACTTTTTTTAACATGCTATATTATCAAGACAGTTCTGTTTACACTCTTTCTATTGGTTTGCAGGGATGAACAACATCTTGAAATATCTGCAGATACACTAGTTAGAGACAAAACTATGATTGACTTGATGTAGTGATCCGAAATATGAAAAATAGCTCATCTTACCCCACTCTCCCCTATACTAATGTTGTGTTCAAAAGACACAATCGGACTGCTGTCTCACAGGTCTTATCTGCACTTCTCTAATGCCACGATGTTTCATTTCTCAAAGGTCATGTTGCATAAAAGTGTACACCGTGTGAACTACCTTCAGCATTTTTATTTGATCACAGGTGCAGGCCGTCTTGAACTGTGTTCCAGTCTTCTGGAGGGAGGGCTCACTCCCAGTCTAGGTGTGCACAGTCCTGTTATATTCACATGAAACAAACGTTGAGTAACTGCAGAAACCAGACAAGCACACAGGATCACTAATTGCCATTTTTCCCACAGGTCTTCTCCAGATAGTGAAGCAGTATGTCAAAATTCCAGTCTATGTGATGATACGGCCCCGTGGTGGAGACTTCCTGTACTCAGACCGGGAGGTGGAAGTGATGAGGAAGGATGTCGAGCTGATGAAGAGTCACGGGGCTGATGGACTCGTGCTGGGAGCCCTGACAGAGGATGGACGGGTGGATGCAGAGCTCTGTATGGAGTTTCTGGGTAATGTGTGTTTGTATATTTGGAGTTGTGACAAGAAAATGTCAACATTACATCATTAGTTGGTTTCTGTGTTCACAACACTTCAAACTTGAGCAGCTTACGACGCTCAGATCCATCTGGAATCAGGGGAGGAATCTCTGACTTGTCAGTGGTTCATCCTTTTTTTTCTTCTTTCTCTAATAATCACTTTCTTTTTCTTTGTAGCTGCAGCCAGACCTCTGCCTGTCACCTTCCATCGAGGTACTTTAATCACACACACACACTTGAAACACACACTCTTATTTGTAGCTGTTTATAATGAGCCGAATACAGAGCAGGAGTGCATTTGAGGTGCTTTCATTATTGATGATTATAGGGGACGCCTACAATGTGAGGTGATAAGAGATGTGATTATGAATCTGAACGTGTTTATTAACTGACATTCATCCTGCTGCAGCTTTTGACATGGTTCATGACCCAGCAGTCGCTCTGGAAACTCTGGTTTCATTGGGCTTTCAGCGTGTGCTAACCAGTGGCTGCGACACATCTGCTTTGGAGGGGCTGCCTGTCATTAAACGGCTCATAGATCAAGTAAGTAAATAAAACATCCACATTAGTTTTTGACTTCATATCGTTATCAAACATCACGTAACATTCTTCACCTTTTATTTCTCTTCACAGGCTAAAGGAAGAATCGCCATCATGCCAGGTTAGTGCTTCATTTTCTCTCATGCAGCTTTCTTTGTTTTTTCCTTTTTCTGACTTGTTCATGATCTTAAAGGAGGCGGCATCACAGAGAGGAACCTGCAGAGAATTTTAGAGGGTTCAGGAGCTCAAGAGTTTCACTGCTCCGCCCGCTCCAGTAAGGACTCCGCCATGAAATTCAGGTATGATTTATTCCCGTCCCGAATGATGCTCATAAACATTCAAAGCGGTCTCAATTTGGAGATAAACTTTTGCTTTGCTGCTGTTTGTTCCCATGTGCAGAAACACGTCTGTGACAATGGGTGCCTCTTTCTCAGCGCCTGAGTACGGCCTGAAGGTGGCAGATGTGTGCAAAGTCCGGACCCTGAATGCAATCGCCAAAAACACATTATGAATGGGTACTGCACAATCACAACAGACAACAAACAGATACCTCAGAGTTTCAGTGATCAGTTTCCAAAAGCCCAGACATGAAGTTCATTTCAGAGTTCACTTTCCTCCTCCTTTTATAAGAATCAATCAATCTTTTGTAAAGTTATTGAAGTATCTCTCAGTGAGCTGTAAGGGGTCATTTCTGTTTTTCTGAGTAAACCTGTTTGTTGACTGAGAAAAAGTGACAAATGGACGATAATCTGGAGAATTTCAAACTTTTGTTCACTTAAAAACTAGAAAGAGCACTGCTCAGGGTTGCTACTTTCAGAAGTGTCTTTCTTACCCTTTGCCCTGTTGTGAAGTGTTATTTCCAACGCTCTTTATTTATAGTGTAATATGATGATAAGCTGTGACCTTCTGTGATAATCTAACAAAGACAGACTCATTATGACTTGAATCAGTTATTTCAGAATTGAACTGAAATCACCTCAAAAGAGAAAAAATCAGTGATTCAGTGCACTTTTTGTTCTTCATGTCCTCCACATTAAAGACATCTTCTCTTTCATTTCATTCAATAAATGATGGCATACATATGCAGAATCACGCTTCATTAATTCAGTCGTTAAAGAGGTTTGAAATTCATTTACTGTCTTCTCTGTTCTTGTTGATATCTAATCAAGCTGATCCTCGAATGATTGAGGTCTCATGAAGCAAGGAAAGGAAGATAAATATTTAAATAGTTCACGCCAAACACAAAATGAAACATGAGAAATGAAAGAAAGATGACGACAACAAGTGACAGGCTGAAGAACGATTGTTTAGATTTGAAGAAGGCCGAGGCTGAAGCCAGTCTGAGATAGTCTGTTTGATTCCAGCTCAAGGTTGTGCTGGTTAACGTCTTCCTGAAGAACAAAATGTCCTAATGGGTTTATATTCTTCGAGAACATGTGAAGAACACTTGGTCCTAAGATTAGTGAGTGATTTATAACCTAGCTGCAGCAGCACATCAAAATAAACAAAGTAGAGTGCAAATATTCAATAACCAGAGTGATGTACTATGATCTCTTAAACTCTCTGAGGAGGTTTGATTGTAAATGTGTAAAAATATCAGGGTAGGATGTTTTTTTTTAGGTGCCAGGAGGCTGTAGAGAGACCACTGAAGTTGTTCACCATGACAGAATAAATGATGGTTGACGTGAGTCCAGATCTGGTCTGGACTTGAGACCTTCAAAGATTTCTTCTTTTAAGACGATTAAAAACTGACTTATGGCTCCTTGTTGAGGAGCTGAAACTTATCCCCAAGTTTATTATGAAACTTTTATCTTCAGTTTTCATTTTTATTGTTGTGGCATCAAACTCTGCAATATCTTCAGTCCCTCGAAATGTAAGGATTTATGTCTGTTTTTAACTTTTTTAAGTGTTATTGCATCAAGTCAAATAACGCTCTTATATTGATAGTGATTTAAAGGGACAATAGACACTTGTATGAAGAACAAAGTAAATCTGGGCACCATCTACGTGGTTATGATAAAGAGCATATTGTGTTACATGTTTTGACCAAGCGATAATTTAAAAAAAGGCCTGAGTATTGTGCCCTGAGGGACTCCACATCTCCTGCTAACCCACCCGTGTCTTGCCTTCAGGATATGATCTCAGCAAACTGTAAAACAAAAATACAATTTCAATTTCACATGAACCATTCTAGTTGAACTTTTCATATCATTAGATAAAATGAGGGTTTCTGACATGATGAGACTATCAACTTTATATGGAAATGAATTTTCTGCCTCTGTTTGCTTCAGTTGTGAGAGGTAAAGCTAAAACACCTGGTTTGGGTTGACTTTGGGTACTGGTGGGGAATATCAGTTAGAAGAGTGTTGGGTTTAGAGATGAGAAAAATTCAATAAGAAGGGAGGATTTTTTAAAATTAACTTTAAGTTTAATGAGAAGAATAAATGTCTGGATTTAATTTTGAAACTGAAAGTTTTACTTGATTTCTGAGGAAGAAATGTTGAAACGCACTTTCCAAGGAAAAGTCAGTGATATTTTGTCATTTCACACTTCTGCCTCAAACGACTCCTTCCTCATTTTTGTCAAAGATAATTCCTTTTTGTGGCTGATTTACTCAATAATACAAATCAAATACAAAAAAAATAACAATGTAAGTCTAGACATGCACTATGTCATCTGATCTGCACAGTCATCAGAGGTAAACTTCCTTTTTATTTAGTCTCACCTTTTTTTGCCTTTAGGTTCCACTGATTGTAAAATTTTGCTGATATTTGTAGACTGAGTAGCTGGCTGGTCTACAGCAAACCTTTCTCCATACACTGATGGTGTTTCTTTAAAACCTGATCACTTGTTTATAAATTGATACGATAATAACTGACTGCTGTGGCAAAAGCACGCTTTTTTTGTTTGTTTTAAATAGTTGGACCCTTGTTTTATCTGTTATAATGGAGGAGATGAACTTAGACAGCCTTTCACAAAGAGGAGCTTTAATGTCATGTTTTCACCAAATGTAAACAAGATGATAAACTCACTTAACCTGAACGTCTGAATATACAGCGCCTCATGACTTCAATCGACAACTGCGCTTTTGAAAGGAAGAGTCCTCCAGATAAAAGCCTACATTATTACCTCAGTGTTAAAACAACTTAACAGGCAATTCAACCTCCTCACTCTCTGTTCTCCAGGCGAATTTTTTACTCAATACTATCAGTTCAGGATCAGTCTGTCCATCATTTTCCAGATGACTAAATCTCTTCACATGTAATTCACTCATGCCAGTGATTTGATGTGCGCTTGGTGTGAACACATCGTTAATGTTTTGGCTTCATTCAGGCTCACTTATTATGCTGTTCATGTTTTTTTTTACAGCGTAGGCACGGCAAGTTTTGGACCATGATGTAATTCTCAAAAGTTTTTCCCGCTGTGTTAAAATCCTTTATCTCGACCCCAACAGGTCCACTTTACATAGCTTAATTTTACCAACTCTATTTTAAAAGACACAAACTCGTCACATATTTTCTCCCCCGTTATCTAAGCTCAAGTTCCTGTTGAAGTAATCTCACTTCACTGTTATGTAACAAGCACTCTGACTTTGCTGATTGGTGCCGGGGTTTGTTACAATCACGGTGAGTCACACTCACCTCTATGCATAGTCTCAGACAGTAAAATCAAAGTATTACAAGGCCTGACGAATTATGTATCAGCCTGCCCCACGTGTCGCTGCTGTCCTTGGAACTGTGCACACACATGAGTCAGCCACAATACAACCGTATCTTTATCAAGGGTGTAATGATTAACCGCCATGCTCTAAGAGAAATCCATTCTAGAGTAATCTAAGTCAGTTTGAGGCTTATCATAGATTTTATTTAATACTAATAATGGGTGTGTTTGCCAGAACAGCTGGGTCTGCACTAATGTTCATTTATTACTTTATTTTAAAACTTATCTAACTTTGTCATGTTGAGTATCAATAAACCTGTTATGCAATTCAGGTAAGTTTTATGGCAGTGTTTGCTCTTTGCACCAAGTCTAGTCATGTTTACTACTCTAGCAGCCCTGTGTTGTGATTGATGGGAGGAAATATGATGAGTAAGGATCGATGGTGTCTTCATCAAAAACATTGTGCAGATTAAGCTGGCTGTTTCACCCTCAGATAAACTCACTCAAGTTGGAAGTCTGGAAGCGATTTACCTCCAGAGTGGTCTAAGTCAACATAAAGAAAACTGTATCCTTCTGCATGAAAGCACCAAGGTTTTATCTTCTAGTAACGCTGATATTATCCTCACTCTTATCCCCATCCTGAGTCTGCTTCCAGTCTCTTCTTGGCTTGAGTTTCATGTAAACACTGTATGTTTGGCTTGACCAGCCCTCCTCTTGTAAACAATAGGAAACAGATAGGGAGGAAAAAAGCCCTGCAGTCAGCTTTGTTCTCTGTTTTTGAAGATTTCTGCAACGTTTTCTTTCACAAAATACAACAGCAGCTTCAACCCAAGGACCCCATTTGGGTGCGTGATGGTCTGAAACTAATCAGATACAACATGAGGTCAGAAATGGGTCCAGAGAGAGAGGGACTGCATGCAGAGTAGAAGTGGAAACCAAACAGGAAAAAGGGGTCTAATGAGCGCGCTCACTCCCTCCCCTCTCTTAACACATTCCCTCTTTCGGTGGGCCGTCCCCCTTTAACATGAGGGAAAACAGCCTAGTCACTCTGTCTGTTTTTATCTCTCTTTGATGAAGGCATCTGTTTGAAAACTTGAACTTTAGACACATGTGAGTGTTGGGGAATGTCTGTGGGCTGGTTTGAGGCTGGGTTTCTGAATGACTTTGACTGCGGTTAGAGAGCTTGTCTCAGTTGCACCCCAGGAGGACAACAGGAGGGGTGGTTTTCTTACAGAGATCTACTGAGACACCACGAGCTGCTGGACGGCAAAACTCTAAGATCTTCTATAACTAACCAAATCAGGACTCAAGTAAAGCATTAACCCATCCTCCTTTTCACTGTCTTTCACATATTAACACCCTATCTTTGCACAAGATTGGGTTTCTGCTCTGAAGTCTCATGGCTCAAAGTCTCTGAGAGTCACATCCTGCAATTGTCTCTGGCGTGAGGGTGGAAGAGGGAGAGAGTGGGAGCGTTTCAGTCAACTTCAGAAGCAGGGAAGAAGAGGGCAGGAGGCGTCTTGTTTTCTAACCATCAGAAGGGCGATTGAAGCCACCAGAGTGGACCATGTGTGCTGCCGCTCTGGAGGAGTACTGCGGGTCAACCTTCTGGGTGAGTTCACTGCGAGGTGGTCTTAAAGGAAGGTACAGTGATGTCAAGGGGAGATACAGTAGGTGCATCTTGGTTTCCCTTTGACCTCAGTTTACCTTCTAAAAATAAAAATCACTGTGAAACTTGTCAAAAATCAAACAAAATTTTAAAACATATGTACAATGTCATAAATCATGATGTACAACCTTTTTTTATCTCATCAAAGTTAAACTCAAATCTGATGTTAAAATCTGTCTCACAGACACATTAACTGCCATCAGAAGCTTCTGTACCAAATGTAGAGTGCTGCTCAGATAACTGACTCTGTTATTCTCTTCAGACATCAATTTCTCTCTGTTTGGACTTTATTTGTCTGGCGCAGAAATGTTTCTCCGACTAAGTCAAATGATTACCATTCTCACAAAGAAATGTGGAAAAAGCCTGTATTTTAATGGTTTTATGAGTTCATCCCTGTTCATAGTGTCGTCGGTGAACATGTGATTCTTAAGTAAAACATGACTCGACATGTCTAACCACTGCATCACATGGTCTGCATCCTAAATAGAGGGGAATAAAAACTGATTATGATTATTTTTCCTTCAATCGTTTTTGAATAAACGGCTATTAGGCGTCTAGTTTTATTTAGACCTAATTTCAACCGTCTAGATTCTGTATATTTTCAGACAGAATTTAGACGTTATATTTTAACCCATTATTTGATAACTATTTATTTCAAAAAGCAATTGTGAGTTTCATAACTGATCTCCAAGTACTTCACCAAAATAATTATGATAGCCATCGAGCAATATATAGAGTAGTATAAGATATAGCGCAGGTTTAGACCTGGTCTAAACTTGGTCTAAATTTGGATGTCTAAAAAACTTTCATTTTTAGACCTGTGGTAGCCTGATTTTAGAGAAGTCGTCTAGGCTACATTTAGACGTCCATTAGACCTCTTTTAGATCAAAAAATGCTCAGTGGGATGCCTTCAAAGATGTCAAAGGCGATGCTGAAGCTACCCAGGGACCCATGATACTCAGACAAACGCAACATCATGAAAATCACGTAAACATGTTTGGTCGGGTGAAAATCACCCGGCGATAGTGTTCTGGGGTTAAACATGAGAAATGCAAAAAGTCATGAATTGGTCTCTCGCTCTGAATTATTTTGAGCGGTTATGTCTCTTTTTGACAAAATTGGAGCAACAGCTCTGAAAATTTCTCGTTATAGCTTCTTGATCAGGCAGATGTGTAACCTTTGTGTATATGTTGTACCTGAGATAAGTCTGAGTTTTGCCCTTCTTCCCTCTTACACATTGGGATGCGTCTCATTACACATTTTATAAACCTAACTGGTCTTAAGTTGTTGAACAGGATACATAACATTTGAAGGCATTAAAAGAGTGAGCATGCACAACAAGACCCCTTAATCTCACCTGAGTTTGAGAGGAGACTTAATATTGGGTCGAGCCTCACCTAATGGTAGGTTAAAGTAGGGCTGGGTGTTAAACTGAAAATTTACCAATACCGAAACGACAATAACCGACATCATTTTGCCCGTGTCAGTATATTCGGTGTCAAATAAATAAATAAATCAATCAATAAAAGTTGGTTTTGGAGGTGTGTAGGTAGGCTATGGTCTCGTGTCCCTTTAAGACGCTGCTCTACGTCAGAGACGTGACTCCACCCCATCCAGTCCGTAACAAAGAGGGAAAGACAGGTGAGGAGATGGAGGACGGTTCAAAAGTTGTAGCGGCTGAAGTAGACGAAGTTAATGTGGGAGGGGGTGAGCAGGTTGTGGAGTAGTTATCGTCCATTTCTGATTATCGTGATATTGATTTGAGGCCATATCGCCCAGCCCTAGGTTGAAGGCAAAGTAGCAAAAAAAAATTGCTCTGAAATGACCGTGAAACTTACAGTAACTTGACAAGCAGTTTCTGAACTGTGCCACACTTCTGTCCTCACATTACACATGCAGGTGTTCACACAGCTGTATGTGGGGACACAGAGTTTGATCACAGATGAGTCACTGCTGATTAAATTTCTACTCAGCGAGGTGTGGTGCAATATTAAGCCGGCTCCTGGGATAAGCGTGTAGGAGGGTGTTAGTTTGCCTATCAGTGATTGTGAACGGACCTGCTCTTTCGTGAAAGGTTATCCGTGTGTGAGATCCTAATTGACCATGTGTGTGTTTGCGTGTGCAGAATAATTCCTACCTGGAAAGAGAAGACCCAGACCTGCCAGTATGCGTGGAGCAGACCGTGCTGGTCTGGATTCCTCTGGGATTCCTGTGGCTCTGTGCCCCAACACACCTGGTGCCTCTCTGCATGAGGAAAAAGGCGAACACCAAACACCTGTCCAAGCTCTATCTCTGCAAACAGGTAATGCACACAGGCAGCAAGGCATGAAACAGTCAGTGTATTTTGAACAACAGGAAGCGAAGAAGATCCGATTATAATTGCATTAATGGGAGCATCACATCCCCCAGTAATTAGAAGCAATCATCGCACAATAAGGAAAACTGAACAGGAGCAATGAGCAGACAAGCATCTGTTCATTTCCTGTGTTTAAAAGTTCATCATAACATCAGATGTTTGTTATTTTTTTATCCCCGGAGATGCGACAGCTTAAAAATCAGAGCAACTGGCCTGTTTCAGTCACCAGGTTGTTTCTCTATTTTCAAGATGACCTGAAAACCGTCCCAATTAACATGATGAACGAATGAAAAAACTCAAGAGAAAAAAAAGACAAACAAAAAAATCTTGCAGAGCTTTTTGGTATTTTAAAAAATTTTTTCGAACATGTTTGTGCAACACAAGAAAGTAAACAGAAAACAAACAAACAAACAAAACCAATGAGAATATACAAAACAACAATAACAATAATCAATGCAAAAAAATATATAAATACACTAATAATAATAATGTGAACCCAACATGTCCGAAAAGGAGTAGGAAGAAGCATTATGCTTATTTACAACTACCCATTCTCCACAACTCAGTCAGTCTCCACCATATCTACATTATATCAAAATAAATAAGTTAAGATCTTAAAAAATACACTAAAAATTATCTGTATTGCTGCATGTCTGCTAGCAGCCTCTACTATATTTGATGTTTTTCCTTGAAAATATCAGAAAAAGATGTATTGCTGATTATGAAATATGCTGTTAAACTTCAGTTTGATTTGATGTTACTTCACAGTATTATTATCCTATCTGATATTTTACAAGTTAATAGTAACGTTGACATAATATTGTCATTCGACTTAGAGTGACGCAGTTTGAACATTTGCTTCAATTTAGAAATGGTTTAACAATCAATATTCGATTATTTGTTAACTTTGTTCTCGTCTCCTCCCTCAGATTGTGGTCTCTCTGTTGTTCCTGACGGCTATCGCAGCCTTAGCCGTCACATTAGGAGAGGACTTTGGTCCAAACGCAGACTCAGCTTCAACAGAGAAAAACCCTGGTGTTTACTATGCTAACCCCGTGCTGTATGCTGTCACATGGGTAAATAGAAAGAGGCTTCACATTTATGATTTTGCCCTTGAGTTGTACCTGCATACCTGACATGTTTTTCTCACATGAATGTGGTATGTATTCTCTCATAGGTCCTTGTGCTGTTGTGCCAAGAAGCAGTCAGGCGGCAGGAAGGAGTTGTGGACTCTGCCACCCTCTTTCTCTTCTGGCTTCTTCTTGTTTTGTGTGACATCTTCCCTTTTCAGACCCTTCTACGAGAGGCACTTAAGCTGGTGAGACATTGCTTCAAAAAAAAAAAAAGGCATTAGGCAAGGAGATAACTCAGGCGTGGCCACTTTATCAAATGTACTTCAGGATGTCTATATGTTCCTTAATCAGCACAAATCACAGTTGGGTTTCTCTCACTCTCAAATATCTCTCTATCTCTGACTCTCAGGGAACAATCCCAGATGTCCCTCGTTTTTCCCTGTTCTACATTTCCTTTGGACTGGAATTGATCGCGTTTGTTCTCTCCATGATCGCTGATGTCCCACCTGAAGCTAAAGAGCAGGTCAAAAAGGTACCCAAGCGCCCAATTTTGTACACTACAGTGACCCTCGTACTGATCGACATGATGTGAATACACACCTTCTGCTTGTCTTATTGTTTTAATCTACAGAATCCTGAGGCCGGAGCCTCATTTTTGAGCAGAATCACTTTCAACTGGTTCCACAGGTAAACTAAAAGTTGCAAAGAAAACCCTGTTTAACAGCCGCGCAAGTTTACGTCAAAACTCAAACTTTTCCTTGTACCCGCAGCATGGTTATAAAGGGGTACAAGCGTCCCCTGGTTCAGGAAGACATGTGGGAGCTCAGTGAGAAGGATAGTACTGCGTACCTCAACGATTGCTTCCAGAACACCATGCAGTCAGAGCTGGGCGCAGCGCGGGTTCGATACCAACACAAGTTGAGCAACAAACGGGTACAAAAGAGAGATAAAGCTCCTGAAGAGTCCTTTCAGAACGGGCTGGGGAAAGGAGTGAGTCAGGATGTGCTGATGATGGTAAGAACATGCAAAAGCTTTCCAAATCCATTTTATCTTTGCTTCTGTATATCGTCTCTGCAATAGCACGCATGAGACATCATCTGAGAGGACCAGCCATTGTATGCAATGTTCAAACTGTAATTTTCTATAGGAGGAAAAAGGGAAGGACAGTGATGGAAAAAAGAAGAAAAAAGACAAGAAGAAGAAGGAGGAAATAAATTATCCAAGTGGATGGCTAATCAGCTCTATATACAAGACCTTCAAATGGATTCTCATTGAATCTGCATTCTTCAAACTACTGCAGGATTTGCTCGCTTTCGCCAGTCCTCAACTCCTCAAGTGAGTGACGATAGAGATCAAACAAGCTGAGTGTCCAGGTTAATGGACTCCTGAAAGGAATCCTTTAACTGTGGCTCACAAACATACTTCATCTGCTAAATCCCTGTTTTTCTGTCCATGGTGCAGTTTTTGGTTTACAGCTGATTTCTGCCTCACTCAGTCAGCCTTCTCTGGAATCATTAACTCAGAGTCAATAAACTCAGAGCTAATGTTTCTCTTTCATATTTTAAACATACAATTTTCAAACTAATAAAACAGTACGAATGTGTGAAGTGACATCACCTGAGGCAGTTTTCCAGCTCTCTCTGGAGCCGTTTTACTCCCTAAAACTGGTAAACAGACTGTCGATTTACAGCTCCTTTTCAAAGCTATTCTTTAACATTTACAGCCCAGTAAACGATTCACTGCTATCTCTTTCTTTAACTGAGCTTTAACATGACTAGATAACACCAGGGTTTGTGGGGGAGGGAAGTGAAAAGGCCAAATAAAAGGAAGGACAGATGTGAAATAGTTTAAACATCAGTTTAAAGATCAATAATCAGCCAATTCTTCTTTCCCTAGGTTAATGGTCTCCTTTACCCAGGATAAGTCCACTTATACCTGGATGGGTTATGTGTACGCTGTGCTGCTGCTTGTGGTGGCTATTCTGCAGTCTCTGTTCCTGCAGCAATATTTCCAGCGCTGCTTTGTTCTCGGGATGAAGGTCCGCACTGCCATCATGGCTGCTGTGTACAAAAAGGTAAAAGAGTATCCTAAAACTCAGTGGGCATTTTCTAATCAAAAACAAAACAGACAGGCAATATGAACAAACCTATAAACAGTATATAAATGAATAAAACACACCATCTATCCTCTCCTTCTTCCCAGGCACTGGTGGTGTCAAATGACGCTCGTAAGGAGTCGACAGTCGGTGAAACTGTGAACTTGATGTCAGCCGACGCTCAGCGCTTCAACGACGTGACCAACTTCATCCACCTGCTGTGGTCCTGCCCTCTGCAGATCATCCTGTCCATAGTCTTCCTGTGGTTTGAGTTAGGGCCCTCTGTGCTGGCAGGACTGGCTGTTATGGTGTTGATGGTGCCGATTAATGGACTGCTGGCTACAAAGGCCAGAAAACTCCAGGTAGGAAGAATACCAGACTGACGATTTTTATTTTATCTGAATGACTGCTTAAAATACCGACCATAGATTTAATCTAACTTTAGGTAAACAAGTTGAGTCACCACCTTACTTAATTATTAATGTTTACAAATGTGTATAATCTTGTCAAATGCTGGTCATATGTTGGGTCACGCAGCCATGTTTGTTTTCGTTTGGGCGCTCTCTGCGTACGTCACTACGTGCCTCTTTGGTACTACCGAGCGCCTGCGCAGACCGAACAAGCCTCTCTGTAAACCCAATCCGCTCAACTCAGCCGTATATATGGAGCATGGAGCGGATTATCAATCGGTGTAGACTACCTCTTACAATCCGACCCGAAATACAATCAGATCCGGGTGAATCAGATTGGCTAAGGTGTTTATATGAGACACTTTGAATCTGATTGTAAATAGGATTTTTGGACCCATGTTTATGGGGCCACTGTGTCTGAGCCTGCTGTTTGGGTCTGTGAGGGGTTCACAGTGATTTGAATGCAGAAATACTCAGAAAAGCAAATTTCGCACTAATTCTTCTCATGATATGATCCTGTAGCGTCAGAAAAATGCCATAAGAACAAGAAAAACATGATTTTCATTGGAGAGGGTCTTTAAGGTGGTAACTTGAAAAAAATGAGAGATGAAAAATAGAACCACATGAAAAACCATCATCCATATATTTTTCCCTGGGTTGGAAAACCAGCCTTCCTTTAAGACGAAGGTATTGAGTCTTTGCACGCTGCTTCTTAAAAAAAGAAAACTATTTAAAAAACACAATGCACATTGATTAAAGCGCACTCAACACGTCTATGTGCAATCAGACCAAAATTACAACCCTCCTTTAGTGCAAATAGACTGAAGCAGGAAGACATCATGGATAACCAACACTTGAAATAACATCAGTGTCACAGGGCATGTCATGTGAAACCTTTATTCAGTATCATTGCTAGTCTTTAAAGTAAACGCATATATGGGTCCCACTCTTTAACTTCTTCAGCAGACAGTTTCTGAGATAATAAGATGGAGGTGTTCATGAGGGTCCAAAGTGACGTGTTTTTTGTTTATGACTTAGTTTCTTTGGTTTTTAGGACATTTCAGAAACCTTCATGTTTGATATAACAGACCCCTGTTCTGTATCTCTGATGTTCCTTATTTTTCTCTTTTTGTCCGCCTACATTAGTTCTTAAAGTGTCTTGCATTACTCAGCTGGTTTGCATCATCTCTTTTCAGATTGAAAACATGAAGTTCAAAGATAAGAGACTGAAAATCATGAATGAAATCCTGAATGGGATCAAGGTGAGCATCCTTTTTCATATATTCTTCGACTGTAAAGCCACTAATTACTATAAGATACCACCTCTGTATTTAAAAACAGAAAAACAAACTGTTCATGTGGTCAGAGTAAAAAGGCTTTTCTCCAGGAAAAGGTGAGACTGTTAGCCCAGAGTGCTTTCTTTTATTCTGCATCCACCACCTGTGGTTTATTGACCGAAATTACATAAGATGTAATTCTCTCCCTTTGTTCCCCCACCTTTCCTTTTCCGCATCTTCCACAATGCCCTCTACTTCCTCTCCCCTTTCCTCTACTTTCACCACCCCCAAGATATTGAAGCTGTATGCATGGGAGCCATCTTTTCAGACTCAGGTAGAAAACATAAGGGGAGATGAATTAAAGGTCATGAGGAAGTTTGCTTACCTGACCTCGGTTTCCACATTCGTCTTCAGTTGTGCTCCAGCTCTGGTGAGTTCTCTGGAAAAGTTTTGCTAAGTAAAGAAAGCCTCTTAAATCTTCTCTTTCCTTTAACCGTTTTCCTCTTCTGCAGGTTTCTCTCGCCACTTTTGCGGTGTTTGTAAGTGTGAGTTCAGACAACGTGTTGACCGCTGAGAAAGCTTTCACTTCCATCTCTCTTTTCAACATCCTCCGATTTCCCCTGGCCATGCTGCCCATGCTTATCGCTGCCATTGTGCAGGTAAGAACAACTACACACTGTGTGTGCATGTGTGTCAAACCATGAACACCAAAATCCCACCATCCTGTTCTCTGACTTTTAGACCTCAGTGTCCAAGAAGCGCTTGGAAAAGTTCCTGGGAGGGGATGATCTCGAAAGTGACATTATTCGCCATGACCGCAGTTTCAGTAGGTTCTCCACTTTTACCTCTGTCTCTTTCTGTCGGCACATGAGTTACAGGGATATTGTTTATTTGTTTTATATTGTATATTTGTTTTTGTCAGGCACTGCCATCAGCGTCTGTGATGGTTCCTTCGCTTGGGAGAGAGACGCTGAGCCCATGCTGAAAGAGTAAGTGTGTGGTGTCAAACACAAACTAACACTTTACGTCTTATAGCTGCAAAAAACTGCATGTTTGTGCTCTTTGTGTTGCGCACTACTGGATGTGTTGACTGTGTGTTTGTGTGTGTGTGTGTTTGCCAGTGTGTCCTTGGAAGTCAAGCCTGGCCGTTTGGTTGCAGTAGTGGGAGCTGTGGGCTCAGGAAAGTCATCTCTCATATCAGCGCTCCTGGGGGAGATGCACAGCACAAAGGGCTTCATCAACATTCAGGTGAATTCTTTATCATCCAACAATGATAGTGAGTTTTGCCAGGACATTTATTATGCAAAACACTCCTCAAGGTTTAATTAAAATGTCTATTATCAAACCAAGTAGTGAATGATTTTAAATTATTGTTTTCTGCAGATCTGACATGTGCACAAAGCCTCTTCTGCAAGCTCCTATTTAAAGTCAGAATAAGTCAGAATCTTATTTTTGGTGATTTTTTTTTTCGGTTAACTTTGATCATGAAACTTTGAACTTTGACAGTCATTCCCAGCAGTCAAAGGAAAACATGCATACTCCGAGGTCATTTCCTATATTGCATTCAACTCCAAGTCTCAGCCCTCTACAAGGCCACTCTGAACTAGTGCTGCAGCGGAAAAATTCAGGGTCTTTATCTTACAGGGAAGGATCATGATACATTTTTGAAACTTCACCTCATGAAATAGCTGTGAGTCAGAAAAATCCCATTTTCTTCTCGTTCTTCTGTATCTCAGGGGGGCAGGGAGAAAATTGTCTCTCTGCTGCTGTGGCTCCTGATTCAGAGGTTGGAAAATGTATTCTCACTGTCGGAAGACGAGTGGAGCAGTAGTACTTTTCATTCATGGGTTATTACAACTGAATTCTTATTTATTACATATTGCGTGTCTATTTAATTGTATCAATATTAATACTTTAATTCCAAACAAATGCAGGAGTTAAAGCTGCTGTAGGGATCTTTGGGTTTGAGTTTTTTTCAGAGACTACTAAATGGTTTTACCCTAACCCTGTGCACGCATAAATAATCCATGTGTGCACATTTCACATCAGATCCTGCTGTAAAAATAAAATCGATGCATTCCTCTGACAGCTTTAGTTATTTGAGTTTAATTTTATCACCTATCTGTAAAAAGAGTGCTGCAGGAAGGCGTCGATACCTCACTGCCTTTGTGCCTCTTTCTTGTTGTCATTGATGATTTTTGCTCCAATAGATGTCAGTGACAGTCAGCTCAACAGCCGATGTTTATTTAACTTCCTTCAAATTAACTTCATTCACTCCTTGTCAAAGTCTCAATTTTCCATAGTTTGTCAATAAATTAGAGGGTGTACAGTCCAGCACACCTGTCACCTTTCTATTATGTAGGCGTACAGTTTATGAATATTCAATTTAATTTGAAGTAAAAAAAAAAAAACTAATCGATGAAAAGCCATAAAAGTGGCCAGATAAGGGTTTTACATGTTTGCTATGAAATTAGTACCCTTTTAGGTAACACTTTCTTTTACAGTACACTTATTACCAGGTAATCAACAGGTAATTACGTAGTAACAACATGAAATTATCTGGTAATTACATGATAACTACTAAGTCAATACTGTCTAGTTTTTCGTTTTTCTGTGCAGCTCCATTTTCAAAAACTATCTGGGGTTCTTATTTTCTATGATTGACACTTGATACAGCCTATGGGCGTGCGAAGATTGCGTATCGATACGCAGTTTGAGCCGAGCGTTATCACAGCGACTCACCCGCCGTATTCGTACAATGCTACTGTGCAAGTGTTGGTTCCAGGAATCAGAGAAAATCCTGGAAATACCAGAGCAATTCGACTTCAAGTTTGTATGATGATGGAAGGTTACCTACCTGGTAGCTAGACAGTATTGACTTAGTTGTTGCTAGGTAATTACCTGTTAATTACCTGGTAATAAGTGTACCGTAAAAGAAAGTGTTTTTCCCCAGTTTTATAATAATACAACTTATATCTGCGTGGGATACACTTTCCTCACTTTGGTCGATCAGCAGGGATAGGATGGCAGCGCTGCATTGGAGGACAGTCTTCGCAGGTTCACAAGCAAAGGAGTGGAATTAGGATTATACAGAAGTAAAAGTGGCAAGAAATGTGGTTTTACAAACAAAAAACTTGGTACAACCTCGATATCAGTTACAGATTGGCTAACTGAAAACCTTTTGACTCAAATAAAACGATATTTTTCGACTCAAATTAGACTGAAATGTTTGAGCTGCCTTGGATTAAGTCAGTCTTTTCTTCTTTCTGTTGTGTGTTTCAATCCAAATTTGCATGAGCACTCTATTTTTGTCTGACTTTATCCTTTTTTTATTTATATTCAGCATTTTATAAACATACAAGACAAAAACAAGAACAACAATTCAAAGACATGGCACAATTAGGTCATGGTCACAGTACATTGCCTGTTTTGTATGCAGAGGAGTCCAAGCATGGCCTGGCATGTTGGGTGGTGGGTGTCAGAGGTTCATATTTGCCATATTTTTAGAACTCATCCCCCATGTTTTTGTTCCAGGTCTCTAATTCAAAGTTTGTTGGAAAGTAGGAGGTCTGCGCTGATTCCAATAGAGTAGAGAACATTTCGTTGCTTTATAGGATATTATAGAAATCCTCTGTGTGTGTGTGTGGGATTCAGTGTCTTGTTAAATTCTGTACCAAAAAGAAAGCATATTGGGATTTAATCTAGTGCCTCGATAAGCAGGTCATGTATGTCTGACTTTATTCTAACTTTTTTTATGTCCAGGGCTCCCTCGCTTTTGTGCCGCAGCAAGCCTGGATCCAAAACGCCACTCTGAAGGATAACATCCTGTTTGGCTCCCCTCATGAGGAGAAGAGGTTCCAGCAGGTGATACAGGCCTGTGCTCTGGCCCCAGATCTGGAGCTGCTGCCCGGAGGTGTCCTCACTGAGATTGGAGAGAAAGTAAGGCTTTAAATAAGATAGCCATGGGGGGTTTGTTCCCGCGAAAGTGTGGTCTTTGTAAACACATCCTGGATGTCTAGAGGGACCGAAAACACAATCATGTTTCAACATTTGTTTCTTATAGCCTTGAAGTATGCAAGAAATGGGATGTGATTTTAGGAGTTATCCACATTTTCAGACTTTTTTTTTAAACCTCGGTGTTTGCTAAGAATGAATTGACCTCAAACGAGGCGTAATCCTTATTTTTTAATTTTGTCGTGTTCCTCTTCTTTTCCCCTCTCTCCCCCTCCCAGGGCATTAACCTCTCAGGGGGTCAGAAGCAGCGCGTGAGTCTGGCTCGTGCAGCTTACAGCCGGGCTGATATCTATTTATTAGACGACCCATTGTCTGCTGTGGACTCTCACGTTGGAAAACATCTCTTTGATAAGCTGATTGGGAACAATGGGATACTTAAGGACAAGGTTTGTACTCAGCGGCATCAATGCAGTAATCCCTATTGTGTGATTCACTTCAAAAGAACAAGGATTTGCATCGATATTAATCACAGCAACATGTAAATATTTGGCTAGTGTGTCATTTAGGGTAATTTTAATGGAGAAGAGGTACAATACAGCTCTGATGAGAAACCTTTATTCATTGGGTGCAGGTGTGTCTTTGGTCATGGACGTGGGTAACTGAGACACTCCTGCCTCCCTCTCCCCTCCAGAACAACACACAGATTTCTGTCTTATACTTTTCCAAGTCCAATTAATTTACATTTTAACAGGTTAGAAGATAAGTCTCATTTTGACCTTCTTTGTATTTCATCACATAAGATGAGATAGCCTTGTCATAGGCGGTTAACTACGATCCTCCACCGGTGAAATACATCAGATCGTCTCTTCAGGGGTCGTATTTAATGTTAACCTTCGATGACAAACGTCTCCTCAGGAATTGATTGGCCTTGGTGTGAAAAATCATTATCATCTCTGTGGGTTACAGGTCAAAAAAAAAAAAAAAAAAATACTTAAAGTGTCACATAGTTCTCAAATAATGGATGTACAATAAACACAGTGAATCCAATGCCAGCAGACAGTGCAGTCTTACTCCAGCAATAACTTGTGTAAGAGTGATATAACTCTTCTTTGTTTGACCTTACTCATGTTTTCTACAAAAGGACAAAAGTTTAGGTCTTAAGTGAAGCATTAAACACAGATTCTGAACTAAAAGCTTCCTACATCTGTGTAACTAAAATAGATTTACTGAAGATATATGCAAGTTAATTCATCAATGAGCAGAACAAACAAGCCCCTTTTTTTAATGCACTGTTATCTCACGAAGACGGTTTTCTCGTGATAACTAATAAATTAATAATGTGTCAGCCATTTTAACTGTTGTTGTCCGATTCGCACGTGGCAGTTAAATGGTGGCTGCAGCATTTCAGAAATATCCCACTCTGAAAGTCGTTTTTTTTTTTTTTTTTTTGTTAAACTTTATTATGTAGAGATAACAAGATATTAAGTCGTTATCACTTGATAACTGTGCATAAAGAAAAAAAGAAAAATCCATAGCTGTTCTCATCTCCCGTAATATTCTAATATTCGGTTAATTATATTCTTACTTCCAATGATCATTAATACATATTTTGATTTTGTTTACTGGAATCCTGTGATGAAACTGACTGATTAAAATGGCTTTAATAGCAACTAAATTAGATCAAACATTACGTGTCCTCCTCTACTGTTGCAAGGCATTTTACACAAACTAAACAAGCTCGATCACTTACTGACATTTTGCCAAAAGAACTGACATATGTGTGTGATATTTATGTTTTTATGTTTTTTTTTTCATTGTCAGTTTCTGCCATCTGTGAGTACATACACAGGAACCAAAAAAGATGTTCGTCTCTAGCCCACGGTGCAAAAATACAGAGAATGTATTACAAGTACAGAATAGAAATACAAAAAGTATAATACAGTAAAGGAGTCATATACTGTGTATGTTCGTATCTAACCTTATGCTGACTGTGTTTATGTATATTCACACTCCTATACATGCACCTTATACATACACCTGCGTACCTAGCGACCAGAAAATGATTCTGCCATACATATTTACACATGACCTAAAGTACAGGAGGTGGTTATGATCCTCAGTAATGCACTGATAGAAAGAACATTTCTATTAATCATAAGGGAACGTTTCACTGTTCCTTGTCCTTGTGTGTGAAGGAGCAGTAAGAAGAAAACTCTTACCTCGCACGCCCATTACACAGGACACGAATGAACAAAAGAAACTTTCACAAAGCTAAATAATTGTTTTTTTAATTTATTTTCTGTGAGTCATTGCCGAGCCAGAAGGTATTTATCTTATGAGTCTAAATGTGCAGCAAAATACATAACTGACATATTCAGATATAAAAACTGTATTATTATTGTACTTTAAACTCCGGCTGATGAGCTGATAGCCTGACCATGAGCTGATTATCCTTTACTATTTTTCCAAATGGTTAACATTTGACATCCTCTGCTGAGAAGTTAATTAATTTCATTTCAACATTCAGTGCTAAGCTTCTCGTAATATCATACAGCAATCTAACAGTGGGAAATAAATATCCACTCAATGGGTCATGGGCTAAAGATTGTTCTTTCATGCACAAAGTCATGCAGTTTTACATTCAGACAGTCTCCTAAGAGAGGAGTGAGTAGAAGCGTTATGCTCTACTGTTCATGGCAGTAAGAAATTGTAGCGAGAACTCGGGCCAGTCCAATACCGCAGCGGGGTGATGCAGCTCAAGGAAGAACATTTCTGATCATTACTTTATCATTTCCTTGAAGTAATAATCATCATATTAATCATTTTTCACTGCAGACACTGTAGTTCTTCTGCCTTAGTGATTCGGTCTGATTGCATTTCCGTGAAGTAATGATCATAAATGTTCTTCCTTGAGCTGCGTCACCCCACTGTAGTCCGTAATGGACTGGCTCAAGGTCTTGCTACAAACAAGCGGCTGCTGGAAGAGAGTAGGTGAGTTGTGTTTAGTCTCTTTGTTAAAGAAATTAGTCAAAGTTAAAAAGATGTTTGGTGGCTAGTGCTATGGCTGGGACCCTATATGTCCTGTTGATGAAGTTCTGAGCATTATTTGTGGCTATAGAGTGGCGTTTTGGCTGAGGTTTGTTTATGGCTCCTCAGACCGCTGTGTATTGCTATCGTGCGGTCGTTACTAAAGTTGGTATAACTAGAGAAGCAAGCGGTCGGCAACATTCATCTCTTGAGGGGGTGTCTAACTCGGTGTTACGGTGTGTTTGACCCTAAATTAATTTAAGGTGGGAATATCCCTTTAAAGGTCATTTTAATCAGGCATAATAAATGTAATTCTAGTGTTTTATTAATGGAACAATTATAGGGCTTCACTGGGCATCAGTGCGAGGTTAGAGAGCCAACTGCAGATATATGGAAGCCAACACAAACACACACACACACACACACACACACACACACACACACACACACACAAACAAACATATGATCCTTTCCAGGCTTTTACTTTGGGGAGATGATGCTGAATTATAACAGTGACCGTACAGCCTCTCCATAAGGGAGCCTGTTTGAAAAGAATAGAGTGTAATTTCATTCTCTGCTGTTCAAAGTGAATAATCATTTCACAGTAAAAGTTAACTGTGTCTTCGTCTGTGCAGACTCGGATCCTGGTGACTCATGGAGTAAGCTTCCTGCCGTATGTGGATGAGATAGTGGTTCTGGTTGATGGAAAGGTCTCTGAGGTTGGATCCTACAACAGCCTCCGTGCCAGCAGAGGAGCTTTCTCCGAGTTTCTCGACACATATGCCAAAGAACAAAGTAATCTGAACCATTCACAGACAGGTAATGACACATTTTCCTCTGCAAATGGGGTAAATTGCACAAAATTTTGTACTTTTGTCGCAAAAAAAAAAGACAATGATATGAAATGACATTGAGCTGGGCGGCATACCCAGGTGCAAGGAGTTTTTTAATGTTCCCTTGTTATGGTCACATGACTTTTATTAACATGATCCAGCGATTAATTCGCATCAAACATGGTGCTGTTTTGTTACAGTTATGGTAAGCCTCTGTATTTATGTTTTACCTCAATGTTTAGATGATTCCAAGGACACTGCAGATGTGGAGCTCATCCCTGAAAGAGACGACGCGCAGCCTGACTCTCCTTTGGAGGATACCGTTTCTGCGACACTGAAGAGGGAAAACAGTATTCGCCGCAGCCAGCGTGGTGGCAGGTTCGAGCACACTGAACCCACAGAAAAGTAGACACATAGTATATGTGATTGTTAAATGAAGAAGTCAATACCACTGCAAGATGTTGCAAAGACTGTCTGATACAGTATTTCTTGTTAGCATGTACAGCGTGGAGGAGAAATCTTATATTTCAGTCTGTTTCTTATTCATTCTGTGTTTTCCTTTATTTAGTGTGAGGCTGAGGAAAAACAGTTCTTTAAAGAAAACAGGGGATGTTCCTGATCCAAAGAAAGGCCAGAAGCTTATTGAGAAAGAAACAATGGAAACAGGACAGGTATAATCGATTCTTCCACTGCATTAATTGTTCTTAACAGCAGAGATTTGAGCTTTTCTGAGCCTGTTGTTCCTCATACTCTCAGGTGAAATTCTCAGTCTACCTCCAGTACATGCGAGCCATGGGCTGGGGATACGCCGTTATGGTCTTCGTGGTTTATTTCATCCAGAACATCGCTTTCATCGGTCAGAACCTGTGGTTGAGCGACTGGACCAATGATGCGGTGGAGTACTTCAACAAGACATACCCAGCGTGGAAAAGAGACACCAGGGTGGGGGTGTTTGGAGCTCTCGGAGTGGCTCAGGGTAAGTGAAGAGATTCTTCTTCAGACCTATACAGTCAGCATCGGAGCTGACTTAAATTTTATAGCTGTTATCAACACTAAAACGCTACAGTTCTCGAGTTTAAGTGGAGTCTTCAGTCAAGTCTTCACTCTAATTATTATCATCCATCATAAGGAGTCGCAGATTATTACTGTTTGGACCTGGGCTGATTGTGGAAAACACATTTTATTTATCAACATGGATTCACACTGATTGTGGTGCTGTGTCTACGCATTCAGATTATCAATGAAGTTAGAGCACTTTGCTTTCTGTGTAATTGAACATGGGTCTTGTTTAATGGGGAAACACTTGTTTATTCAGCTGCAGTAGGATCACTTCTGGAGTCTAATGAAACGAGTGGCGTCTCTTCAGGCGCCCTGGAAAGAAGTTGTTGATGAACAAATCCGCACATCTAAACTGTTTTGGGTATTTTACTGAAAAGAAAATCAATAAAATGATAAAACAAATAATACAGTGGTAAATAAATCCAATAACAGACTTCCTCTCCATCTTCAGAGTCCTAATACAGTCAATACTTGAGAGTGAATTCTCTGTAGTGAGGCTGGATTTTTTCTGTTATTGTAAGAACTGCAGGCCTATGAATCATGTTGAAGTGGATGATACTTTCTGATAGTATAACCAAAGAACAGCACAAAAGAAAACCACGTAACAGAGGTTTATCTCAACAAACATCAGAACAGAGAGATTTAATGAGGACGTGCCGCTGCTGTGATAAGAGTCTCCCAAACTGTTGACAACAACATTTATCAGGTTTTCCCATTTGTGACAAGCTTCCTGGTTTGTGTTGATTTCCCAGAAGATTTGAGGTTTGTGTTATTGAGAAGACTGACTCAACCACGCTGAGAGGCCAAATATGACACTTAGCAATTGCCTCTGTTTCAAGGGGATTTGAGGACCAGTATCCTCGTTTAAGGTTATATTCCAGCTGCTTCAGGCAGGTTACAACTGTGTACAATTCTGGAGACTTTTGCTTTAGCAGATTGAAACCTTTTTTTCATTCATCAGGAGCATTGTTTATCAAAATACACACTTCTTTCTCTATTTTCTGACTTAAAAAAAAATTCTACAGACTTTAATCGAAAAACATTGGTAAATATATTTCTGCCAATTCTTAAATATATTTCAGCACAGATGCCTCTTAATATTGCATTTTATCCTTTGTTGAAATTATATTAAGTATAAACAGTCTGTCACTGCATTGTTAAACATTGCTGGTAAATGTGGTTAACAAACTAGGAGGCACAAGGATGTATTTGCGACGCTATGTGACGGGGATTTTCCGATCATTTTGGAAATCATTTTTTAAGTTGAAAACATCAAAAAAAAGAAATTTCTTGACAAACACACCATTGAATATTGACTTTTTAATCTGAAGTGAACAGGTGGTTATGCAAATTAGAAACCCAGGGTGAGCAGGACCCTGACGACACCTGAAGAGATACCAATATGTACCTCCACTCACCACTCGATTAAGCCACTTAATAAAGCTTTAAACAGATAGATTAGAAATATTAGTTCATTGATTGAAAATGATTTATTTGTACAGCTAGAAAACAGTCCCTCCAGTCACATGGTCAGTAACGCTTCCATGGCAACAGATTCTCATCCTTGTGGAGTGGATTATCACAAAACCTTAAATTTCAAAGTCAAGTTGACAGGTCAGCCTGCTTATTTGTTCTAGATAAGAGTTGAACTGAACGTTTCCATTAAAGGTGATGCGAGACAGAGTGAATGGGACTATTGTAGGAGTATTTATACAGCTCTAAGTTTCACAACTTCTTATAATGTTGCTGTCATTTCTACCCTTTAGTGTTCTGGCACTCCTCAGGTCTTTGTAGGACAGGATCTTGCTTCTCTTCCCCTATTAGAGACAGTTTGGGCCCAGATAGCCCCTCAGGCTGCTCTCACATCCATGCTAAGTAACTTTCATCATTTCAGAGATGGACACCAGCTTATACGTCACAGTATTTCTGAATCAAGAACGCACAAAGAATCTAACCTTTCAGCCACCACTACTATAACCAGGCAGAGGAGAAATGTGCCACTTCTTTTCCAATAATTGGTTTGATGTAGCCTGCGTGATCAGGTTGTCCCTTTTTGCACCTGAGAATAAATAAGAGGTCGTTATTGGGGTTTTACATAAAGACAGGACGTCAGCAATAAACAGCAGGCAAGTTTTCTTCCAGGTGGTTTAGTGTGTGAAACCAAACCAGGAAAAAAAAACAGCTGAAGGTCTTTTGTTGGCACTCAATGCTTCCTGTGAGTCCTCTGCCAACAGAAAACAGTGACTCAACTATTATTCTTTTTCTCTGTTGAAGAGCTGTCTGTCCTTTAAATGCAGTTTGAGGTATTTACAAGAAAATTGACAAAAAATTGACAAAAAATTGACCGCCCATTCTTCCTTCGTACAGGAAATGTCAGACAGTACATCTTGTAGCTGTAGCTGTAAAGCTTTTCTTTGTCCCTTTAAGATAAATGGTGCAACTCTAAGCAACAGCAGAAGTGTAAATAAACACTTGATGTAACAGTGTACTTTTGGTAACACTTTACAAGAATCATAACTTATAAATGGTAAATAGACCATCTATAAATGATAAGCAGATAGTTTATTTAGGTTTAATCATCATTTATAAATAGCATATAGACCATTAATAAATTGTCAATTTTAACCATCTAAGTAATGTTTATAGGTGGTTTATAAACCACGTATTAATCATTTACAAAGTATTGCAAATATCATTTGCAACTTTACAATTACCATCAAAGTAATGTAAACAGAGGGTTTAAAAACCAAATATTAAATATTTACAAAGTTCTACTGACACACATTTTAAACTAGATGTTTTACAACCAATATTTAAACCCTATATAAACCTTTAATAAACAGTCCATTAATAATTAATGAAAATTATTAATCATAATTTCATTGCTTGTTAATGGTAAAGAAACGCTTAACTTACATTAATAAACTATTTATTTGCCATTTATAATTGGTCTACATACTGTTTTAAATGATGATTAAATATCTATTAACTATCTATTTACCATTTATAAGTTATGGTTATTGTAAAGTGTAACCGTACTTTTTTATTCATGAGCGTTTAACTCGTCAATAATCACAGATGTGCAGAAACCATAAGGGGCCAAGGGATGAAGGCCGTGTTGTATACAGCTGAAAATGAGGAACATTGTGCGTGATAGACACAAGTCTGACAATAATAGTGGCATGATATGTTTGTTGCCTCTTCTTGACCGTGGTTATACAAGTATTTTTCTGCACACATTACATTATGGAAATGAGGTCCAGTGTGTATTAAGATAAAGGCTGTATTTTTAACCCAATTTTACCACACAAGAATAATGTTATTTGTCACTGCTTGAAAGTGTAGTCGTTAAAGGCAACAGAAAAAATAAATCTCCCCTTGTTTTTCAGGCCTCTTTGTGTTTCTCGGTACTCTGCTTCTGGCCAATGCTTCAGTCAATGCGTCTCGTATCCTGCATTCACGGCTCCTCAACAACATACTGAGAGTTCCCATGCTGTTCTTTGACACCACGCCCATCGGAAGAGTGGTCAACCGCTTTGCAAAAGTAGGTTTCACTGTTCGCCCTCTCAACCCAAAAGCAGAAACACAATGGCAGAGTAAGAGAACTCAGTGGGGTCTATTATTGCAGGGAAAGGGACTGGCTCATAGGTGGAGTTTCTTTGTATGAAATACTCAGAGTCCTTGGAGTAGGGTAAATTGTAGGTGAAGTGCCGGCACAAGATCTATGAAGTGGTTTTTGTGCAAAGAAAGGAGTTAAAAAATCACTGCAGGAAATAAGCTGAGCATAATTGTACGAAGCTGTTAAATGCAACAGACATGGGCAGAGTAATCAGGCAATGAGAGGAAATGAAGCCAGGGTTCTTGTCAGGAGGCAGATTGCAGAGATGCAAGTGCAAGTAACTTACCTGAATAGCAAATCAAGAATTTCATGTCAGAAAAAGTAGTCTTTACTCTGGTAATGTCCTGAGATGAGATGAATGAAATTGATGCATGAAATAGATTTATCCAATTTTGTCACATGGATACTGAGCAATCACATCCTTCCCACCACCAAGTTTTTGATCCATCCTATCATCCCGCAGACAAGTCTGCAGAAACCTGTGCTCACTGCAAGTGTGTTATTTGACACTGTATATTCTGCAACTGAGAGCTCATGCTCCTCATGATGTGACAGCAGGACACATCACACGTGGCAGGATTGGCCTCGAGGTCTGTGAAATGGAAAGTGCGGTGTTCAGAATTGGGTTGGCGGCTTTCTTGAAGGAGTCTTGCAGTGATCTAAAGATACAGGAAAATGTAGAATTAAAACAAACCAAAATGACGGTTACTTCTTTTACAATAAAGAAGTGAATTGATATAATAATAAGATAATTATGTGGATTAAATATGCAAAACAAGCTAAGAGTTTTATAACACTGCATTGTCTCAGCAAATCTAACTCAACTGTTTAATTTTCTGTCTTTAGTTTCTCTCTGATGTACTCCTGGTCACTCTAGAGTTTACACATTGTCTACCCTAATTAATTTGACTTAAATGATCTTGAAAAGCTGAGAACTGCAGTGGGACTAAAAAAATAATTCTCTTTCTTCCATCTTAGTACTCAGTTTTACAAGCTGAAGTCTAAAAAAGTTAACGAAAGAGGAAAAGAAGTGTTGCTCGGCTGCACGCTGCTGTAAAGTGGTGTAAGATTTCCCACCGCTTTTTCTTCTTTTATATTTTTTTCATATCCTGGCATTTCTGCTGGGTGCCAGGAAATTATAGATCTGTGTTTGTTACCCTCCTCCTTAACAGACCCTGTGCACTCAGATGCTCGCTGCAGGTGCTCTCAACGTGCAGAAAATTGTCATTTTGACAGGCTTTAAAACGGAGTTGAAAACTTTGCCTGAGTTTGATTTAATAAAGTCAGTTCTTAGTCACTTGTAGCCCTGCGACTGGTTGCGCTAACAAAGACTTTACATTCGTGTCTCTATAAAGGACATTTTCACAGTGGATGAAGCTATCCCACAGTCCTTCCGCTCCTGGCTGCTGTGTCTGCTTGGCGTGCTGGGGACTCTGTTTGTCATCTGTCTGGCCACGCCTTTCTTCACCATCATCATTATTCCTCTAGCCGTTGTCTACTTCTTTGTCCAGGTGAGCTGATCAAAACAGTGAGAGAAATTACAGGATTAGAGAAAAGAGACTGAACTAGGAAATACAATTTTCTTTGAAAACAGAATTGGATGATTTGCAAATCATTTAAAGCCGATATTGAATTAAAAATAATGAATTGATGAAAGTAAAACATTTGTGAAGATGATATGCAAGGCTTAAAAACACACAGAGGAGCATCTCCCAACTAATTACATTCATTTGCAACCTATAAGTAACATGACTGAAAGGCTGAGGCTCTTATAAGTAGGGACAGGGAAAAAATTCCAACTCTGTGACAGAGCAGTAAAAGGAAATAGTTCAGCAGTTACAGGGTTAATGTTCCCAGGCTTTAAACTGCAGAGAGTCTGATGATTTTATCAACTAGGATACATGATATCCTAAAAGAAATATCTGTACAATAGGGAAAAGGACATTGGATGGCCGTGACTGTCAGACACTCTAGTAGGACTGTATCAAAAACAGACTAGTGAAAATGACTACTGGGCATTTCATGACTTACAAGGTCAGGTATTTTAATGTGTTCTAACTGTTAACAACTCACTGAGAATGTCCACATAGATAATGCATTATACATATATTTATGATGTGTTATAATTTACTTATAAACTTGTATAACTATCATTATAAACACTCATTAATTATCATACGGCTTTATAACAATAAGCATAACACATTATAATACCTGACCTTGTCAAGTCATGATAAAATGCTTTATAATGTGTTTTGATTATTGTTATAAAGCATTATGATCATTTATGAGTGTTTATAACTATACTTATACAGTACTATAATGTGAATATGACACATTATAATTATATTTATAATGCATTATAGAAAGAGGCGTCAAGTAAAGTGTTACCCAATATATCCAAAAAAGGTTAAACTGTATAATGCAAATAGGAGTCTGTACATAAACATGAGTTTATGAAAAGCGTCCCCCATTCCAGAAAAATCTAAATTGACTTTTTATGGGAATTGAAGACACCACATCCACCACTCAAAAGAAGAAGAAGAAGACCTTGCACAATAAAGCAAGAAGATGCAAAGCTACCTTTTGTGATCTAACAACAGTACGGCTCGATAGTAGAAGAGCCAGGATGCAAAATTTAGGTCTCCTCTTTCACAAAACTACAGCTGTAAAAAAGACAGTCTAAATAAATCCTCCCTGCTTCCTGTTTTTTTTCTCATACCTGTGTTTTTATACCTCTTCTGCTCAGCGCTTCTACGTTGCAACGTCAAGGCAGCTTCGTCGTCTGGACTCAGTGTCTCGCTCTCCCATATACTCGCATTTCAGCGAGACTGTATCAGGTCTGTCAGTGATCAGAGCCTACGGTCATCAAGAACGTTTCCTCAAACACAATGAAATCACTATAGATGAAAACCTGAAGAGCGTCTACCCGTGGATCGTGTCCAACAGGTCAGATATCGACACAAATCACGAATAAATCCCAATTTATCACGGTCAGTGTGTTAGGAGGATGACGTTGGTTGCCCTGTTTGTGTTTACTCTGCAGATGGCTGGCCATCCGTCTGGAGTTCTTGGGAAACCTGGTGGTGTTTTTCGCCGCCTTGTTTGCTGTCCTTTCCAGAGACTCCCTGGACAGTGGCTTGGTCGGCCTCTCCATATCCTACGCCCTCAATGTCAGTGGTTCTCATGGTTAACACACTCACACACACTGCAGAGTTTTTTCATTGTTAGAATACTTGACCTATGGCGGTGTCATGGTGCATAATCTCAGGTTTGCTATACTATCTTCTGTTTGTGTGTCTGCAGGTGACTCAGACCCTCAACTGGTTGGTGAGAATGACTTCAGAGCTTGAGACGAATATTGTTGCTGTGGAGAGGGTGAGCGAGTATGCCGAGCTTGAGAACGAGGTATGTTGAGAGAGAGGCTTTCTTTCTAATGAATAGTAATTCTTTAAATCTTTAATAGTACATGTTACAAAGACATGACAACTGCGGTTCAAAGAGATCATTAAATAAACGGAGGAACAGTTAAAGAAGTAAATGTACAATGTGAACGAAAGGCCAATAATTGATCTTGGATGTCCGTGACCGTCGGACTCATTAAGGAACAGTTTGTTTTGTTGAAGCAGGTTTATATGATGTACTCATATCATCCACAAGGAATCTCTCAGCTCTTTTCAGTTACATTTTTCATGTGTGGAACTGCAATTGTCTCGATTTGAGCAGAGTGCCAACACTGAGAAATTGGCACAAAGTTGAACGTTTTCTTTCTCAAGAGAGAGAGAGAGAGATCTGTATGTTCCCCCTGATGATAAGTCGCTTTGGTAATGATGAAGCATGTGTGAGGTGTCAGAGGCTATTTGCAGTCCTTTCTGTTTGGTCTGTTTACCATTCATGCCGCTCAGGAGCTCCAAGCCCAGTCCTGTTGGTTTACAGCTTAATTTGATGGTTTTGGTGTGCAGCAGGAGGGTATGTCGCTCATGGCTCCAAAGCAGGCTGTTGTGTTGTGTGTTGGGAAGTGAAAAAGATCCAACAAAGCAGCCATAGAAAGATGGTGATAGTGATTGGTGCCCCGGGATTTTAATGAGTTTTTTTCGAGGAGGCAGGCAAAGAAGTGGTGCTTGAGCTAAGCAGCGAACTGCTGCAGGCTGACTCAATCAGAATTAGGCTCAGTTTTAACGTGTAATGAAGTGAATTTTAAGAAACCCCAACAATAATGCTGATGTCTCTGTATGAGTGTATACTTTATTTAGGTTTTCTTTTTTCAGTGCTTCACTTCACCAGCATTACAGAGTGTGGTATGTCTTCACTGCAGTCAGAAGCACCCAAAAACCGCAGATCATAACAGCTCATCAGTCCTATCCTGTCCCTGTTTTTGTTTCTTGTCTTTTTTTATCTAATCCAACAGGAACAAACCCACCATTTTCATTCCCTTTAATCAGGCATTTTTCATTCTCTACTCTTTTGCTGCTTTTCTTCCTTTTCATTTCTTATTTTTACCAAGATATTTGCCCAGTCTCATCTCTGTAGGCAGATGCATTAGTCAATTTTTCGCCCCCATTATCCTCTCCACTTCTGGGAAAACGAAAAAAGGACTGGCCCTTGTATTTTTACAAGGATCTTTGCATCCCCTTCCAATAAGTGATTCCACATCTGACAGCTTTCTGATTTCAAAAAACATGATGAAGCTCTTGTTTTTTTTTCGTTTGTTTTTCTTCCTGTGTGCTTTGACGTAGGTGGTATTTTCTGATATAAGGGGAGAATAAACCTCTATGAGAATATCTGTACTAATTTGAGGTGGCCAAAAGTTGGTATCCCTGTTGAATTAGATATTTAAGTGAATGTGAGGCCACTTTTGTTGCTTGAGATTTTTTTTAATTGAAGGAAAATCTTATTGCATGTTCCTCCACTTTCTTTGAACTTTTAAGTAGTTTAAGTAACTTTTAGTAGTACACTGTATCTGTACAGTGACCCCACCAAAAGGTAAGGACACTATATATTTGTTAGTTCTCTAAACACCACCTTATTATTCTTTGCATCCATGCAAATCCCGACCTTTTTTCATGAACATGACGTTCATTTGAGATGCTGACATTTAGTTTCTGGAGATAATTTTTTGAGTAAATGCAATGACCTTTAAAGCTTTCTACCTATAGCACAGGGGTGGGTAGGGGCTCCAGTACCATCTATTTAATGTTTTTTTTTTTTGACAGGAGTGCAATTTTCTTCTCCTACAAGCCAAAAGAAAGTCTATGGTCTATCCTCATTTGCTCCTGGCTTAAATCAAAAATAGATTCTTTTGTCCCAGCTCACCACTCACCACTGTGTGATTTTATTTCTGCAGGCTAAGTGGGTAACAGAAAACCGGCCACCAGAGAAGTGGCCAAAGGATGGAAGAGTTCAGTTTGAGGACTTCAAGGTCCGCTACAGACCTGGATTAGACCTGGTGCTGCATGGAATCACCTGTGATATTGGGAGCACTGAGAAGGTGTGTGTTTATTGTTATTTATTGTTTTTTAGTGTTTTAGAATTAATTTGATATATGACAGGATCATATACAATAAATAAGTTTAGTGCCTCCAATGTGTACGCGATAAGTCAAACCTTATTTACGGCTTGGGCCTGAATGCAGCTTGATATATCATATGTTTAAGTAAAACAACAAAAAAATGACAATATGAAGCTAAATTTTTATTTTTTTATTTCATGCACAGGGTTTCAAGAAATTCTAACCTGCATCTACAAACAAATACTAATAATGATAATAACTTTATTTATATAACACCTTTAAAAACGGATGTCTTTTACAGAAGAAGCAAAAACAGCAGAAACAGACAAAGAAAAAATGACAGTTAAAAATGGTCAGTTAAAAATTGGCTGTTGGTCGACGGCATCACATCAGGATGGTGAAAAGGAAATAAGATGGATAGAGGACAGATAAAAGAGGAGGAGAAATAAATACATAGATAATAAAATAAGGTCAAATAAAAGTAATAATGAAAAGGGAGGGAGTATATTAAAATATGAGAAAATGTTAAAAACAGGACTAAGAGTAATAATGATATAACTGACAAGGTTAAACAAGAGGTAGCAGGCAATGAAATAAATAAATAAATAAATCATGCATCATGTAGAAGTATTATGTAAAAGTAATTCTAACAAAATCTGTAAAATCTCACCGACAGCTAAAAAGCGCAACAATTCTACGGTAGAGAAAAATAAATGAAAACTAAATTTAAAAAGTTTGGTGACCACCTGTGACTACCAACAATAAACAAACAAACAAAAATAGTCAACACAAAGTATTTATTTAAAGAGATGATAAATTTGTACATCTTAAAAAATGGATCCTGGGAGTTCACAGTCTGTAAAACTTTCACTTAAACAGCAAATTTCAGACTGTAAAATCTTTCCAGCCTTGATTTCAAAGTCGTTTGTTCTGTATGTTATTTTGGATGATCGAATAAAACAAAACAAGTGTAGTGTATCTGATCGAATCTTTTGAAATCAAGACTGCTGCCGTTTCACCCCGATCAGATTTCTTTGGAGCGTGTGTCTCTGGACTTGAAGTGCATAATTACGTCTCTGACTGTCTGTCAAAGAATCTTGAGCTTTTCATCAGTCAGAGCTGTACTTGGTCTGTGCTGCTACATGTTCTCTGTGTATCAAGTCAATAAAAGAGAAACGTACATTGTGTTTTCTCATGTAACAGGACTACATTCAGGGGTGTTTTGCCTTATGAATTCATCTGTTTTAATCAGATTAATTTATCAGATTTTCAGTGTTAGAAAGATCCAGGTTGTTGCCTCTCAGCACATGGATGTATTTACTTGATGTGCTGTCTCTCACTCAAATCAGATCGGTATAGTCGGTCGCACAGGAGCTGGAAAATCCAGCCTGACGAACTGCCTGTTCAGAATAATCGAAGCAGCCGAGGGACGCATCCTCCTGGATGATATCGATATTTCCACCATTGGCCTTCACGATCTTCGAAACAGCCTCACCATCATTCCACAGGTAAACACACAAACACACAAACACTCTGATTTATGTACTGTTGCCAGTTTTCATCAGTTAACTGACGCTAAAAACCGTGTGGGGACAGGATCCGGTGTTGTTCTCCGGAACACTGAGGATGAACTTGGATCCGTTTGACAAATTCAGTGATGAAGAGATCTGGAGGGTATTGGAGCTCTCCCATCTAAAGGACTATGTGGGAGGACTGCAGGAGGGACTGCAGCATGAGGTCGCAGAGGGAGGCGAAAACCTCAGGTGGGTGATCGAAATGAATGTTTTTCTTGTAGGTAACAAAAAGAAATAACTGAATATAAAACGTGACAAAAAAACATAATTAATACCTGCCAGAGTGGTGGACTTGATGGACGCACAGGCACCGGAGAACCTAACTCTACTCTAATTAAGTCGGAAAAGGTCTTTTGTACAGAACAGAAAGCGTACAGAAGTATTAGATTCTTATTTTAATAGAACATAAAAACATTTGATTCCCGGTCACATACTGCATGTTTGAACTGGGAGTGGAAGTGCTTGGAACTCTCTTAGAAAAGCTGTTTTTCGGTCAAATCACATGCAGGGAAACAGTCAGGGCAGCTATCGTGTCTGTCATGCCCAGCTTCATGTCAGAAGGTAAGTATACACAGAAGCATTTGATTACTGATGATTGCTGAGTGTGGACAGCATTTATATATTCTTAGCTGTTCGAGTTCAGTGCCGGTGATTGGAATGTTATTCTTTTTCATTGACATTGACATTTATAGTTATGGCTCTGAGGATAAGTCTGCACATTTTAGCTAACATTTTCTGTGTAATTTTCTGTGAGATGGACAGAAGAGTGTTTTGTTACCCGGAGGCAGAAGCAAATTCAAATGAATAGTTCTGGACAACAGAGTTTCTTCCTCACCCTTTGATTCAGACCCAGACTGCACATACTTATTGTGAATTCATGAATGAAAAATGTACCTGACTGCATAATGAGCCTCTGCTGTGCAGGTACACTAAGCGCATGTCAATCAAAACAGGATCTGCTGCGCCTATACAGACTTTAGAAATGGTCTGAGGAGTGTAATAGGCTTTTGTTGCAGACTAAATGTTCAAGTTATTATACGAGTTTATTTCATGTTTCATGGGTACTGGGTCTGACAAAGACATCGAATATACAGTATAAAGCCAGATATTTTTGAAGTCGATACAAGTATGCTGTCAATAACACTGTGGGAAGCCTGTTGCGCACTTGAATGTAACCACGTGTTATCACATCATTGCAAGGCAATTTGCAGGTTATTTCTGTCTTTGTGTGTCAGAAGCACTAAGTGGTGCGTGTTTTTCTCTTTCCCCAGTGTTGGGCAGAGGCAGCTGCTTTGTCTGGCGCGAGCCCTGCTGAGAAAGTCCCGCATCTTAATCCTCGATGAGGCCACTGCAGCAGTTGATTTAGAGACCGACGACTTGATTCAGAATACAATACGCAGGGAATTTTCACACTGCACGGTGCTCACCATCGCTCATCGCCTGCACAGCATCATGGACAGCTCCAGGTGAGTCAGTGCTCTGTTAGGCACTTCTATGGGGTGACTCGCTGGGACCCATAAACAGCATGGTGAACACTTCCTTTACTGCACATCCTCCGTGTATTAAAGGGATATTCCGGCGTAAAATTAATTTAGGGTCAAACACCGACCAACACCGAGTTAGTCAAGAGATGAATGTTGCCGACTGCATGCTTCTCTAGTTATACCAACTTTAGTAATGACTGCGTGATAGCAATACACAGTGGTCTCAGGAGCCATGCTGTTATGGCCCTGGCCTAGGGGAACCAGGGCCGTACATGATTAAAGTGCCCCACTCTTCCCATTCCCAAAAAACAGCCAATGAGGAGTTTTTAGATTCACACAAAAGGCAGTTTTTATTTTCTTCAGAGAGGAGCGATGCCAACACAAATAACTAAACAGCTGAATCAAAGACCCTAACTTATCTGTAGTAAAATTAATGTAATACGAAAGACAACAGATAACCTAACTAGAAAACAAAATGGCCTCTCCCCCCGCCACTAAATCTTAAAGTAAAATATTCACAACTAGAAAAGCACTCAGAGAGCGCAGACCTCCGCCAAGCAGCTCATGTCCCCCCTTAAACAAGAAATGCCCTGACTGGGATTCAAACCCAGGACCTTCTGGTTGTGAGGCAACAGTGCTAACCACTACACCACTGTGCCGCCCATTGGTTACCTTTCAGCTTTGAAAATTCCAACGACACCCTTATTTTTGTGTGTTCTGGATCACAGTATCCAGAATTTTGTCAGGATCACCACCAAAATTTAATGGGATCCTCCTGGGGCTGAGACGCACCTCTGGTGAAAATTTCAGGTCAATCCGTCTGTTACTTTCTCCGTAAAGTTGCTAACAGACAAACAAACCAACACTACCGAAAACACAACCTCCTTGGCGGAGGTAATTAAATAATCTTCCTAAACACATGGCTGAACAAAAACAACTTCACATTGTCTGCATGGACTGGTAGTTGGAAGGGCCAGAAAGGGGTTGGATGATGGTATCAGGTGGTTTAAATAATCCTCAACCAGCCAATCAGCATGCAGCAATCAATGCACAGGTGCAAACAGCAGCACACACACCTGCAGCTCATCTCTCACACAAAGGCTGATTTCCACTGCAAAGGAGGGGAGGAGAGAGAGAGCTGTCAATCAACAGATCCAAACAAACATACTATGTCATGATCAAACACTTGTGGAAATGGACCACATGGTGTACGCAAAGATTTCCTCTAAAAGAGAGACAGAACACTTGCGTAGATGTTCAAACTGAAGAATCCTTTTTACTCTCGGCCTGTACCGACCTATACACTCACCAGCAGGTAACCACCTCCGCCTGTGTTTCTCCTCCACAGAGTAATGGTGCTGGACGCCGGCAAGATCGTGGAATTTGATTCTCCGAGCAATCTGCTTCAAAAGCGGGGCCATTTCTTTTCAATGGCAAAAGATGCCGGGATCACGAAAGAGGAAATCACAGCTCTTTGATTTTGCACTTGTTCTTTTGATTTTTTTTTCCATAAATTTGTTTTGTTGTCTGATTGAAAAGCTGGATTTTACTTTGAAATAAAGGTGTTTATAATATTTGTATTTATAGGAAACAATGTAAAGGAATCATATTCTGTGTTTCAAGATGTTTTGTAAGGGAAAAATAAATATGCTTTCTCAAAAAAATAAAAAAAAGGTTCATTCTTTGTATGGAGATTAGAGCTTTACAAAGAAACGTTGGACAGAGGTAATAGCTCAGCTGAGCAAAAGGATGAAAAAAGGGCTGTAGTTCTCAGCAGAAAGAACATCGGGTTCACGTGTATCTTTTGTGATACTTGTGTTCATTATGTTTTTGAATGTTTTCCAACTTTTCCCTCGCTACAGACTGTGAATAGTATAATAAGGCTGTTAATGCAGCCTGCCTGATATTACACCAGCGACACCAGCCATTGGCATCACATGTTGCAGTATGAGAAGGATGAGCGGGTCATGATTACTGGTGTCAGGGAGCTTATTTTATTGTCAGCTTATTATAAAGTTGATTCAATGAAAACAAGATAAAAACACTCATTTTGTTTACTAAACAGAAGAGCTTCTTTCGTTTGCGTTTGTGGAGGTGAAGGCAAAGGTGAAGGCTCAGAAATAGAGCTATAAACCCTTTCTTCCATCAGACAACACGGAAAACATCATCTCTCTGCCCAACAGAAGCAACAAGCTGGAGATGTTTGTGAAGACTGAGAAAGGTTACCATGAGTGCAGTCTTATCACTGAAACCTGGTTGAATTTAATAACTCGGACTCCAGTGTGGATCTCCCTGGATTCATTCTCATAATGTCAGACAGAGATGCCAAAGCTAGTGACAAATAAGAGAGAGGGGTTTGGCTTTATTTGTCAACCAGAGATGGTGTAACTCTTCACTCACTCATTGTTGTCAAGGGGAAGATGTGTTGACCAGATATTGAACTGTTGGCAGTTGCTCTTCAGCCATATTGTGTTCCAAGGGTGTTCAGTCATGTCATAACAATCCTTCAGGAACGGCTGAAGTTCCATGTGATCTTCTCCATGAATCAATCACTAGGATACAGACTCAACATCCTGAGACACTTGTAATAACATCAAGAGAGTTTGATAGAGAGATTCAGAAGATCTTTTGTACCCATATCCATCAAACTTTTTAATTCTTCCATAAAAAGCTGATGAGATGAGTTTCAAGTTTCAAGTTTTATTTGTCACATGCCTAAATGCACAGGTACAGTGGCAGTGAAATGAAAGTGACATCTGTGATTGTGCCAAAGAAACAGAATAATAATAATAATAAGGAAATCAAATAATATATAGAAAGAGATCAAATAAAAATAGAAATACGATAAATATCCACTCCTATATACATCCTATGTACAAATAACTGTAAAAATTAAAATCAAAGTGATTAAAATAATAAACAAAATAAATTAATTAAAATAATAAAAAAAAATATTGACTCCTATGTACCAAGAAAACGAGGTAACAGAGGTAAACAGATGAGATACCGGACAAACACATTTTCTTTGGACCTGTGAGGAGATTTTAACTGGTTATGAGACAGGCTGAAGTTAAAGCTGATCACTCTTGATGGTTTGGAAAAGAAAATAAGAAAATGAAAATGAAAGTAATGAAAATGAAAATAAGCACATTACACAAAAGGTCAAATCATTCTACAACAAAAACTAAATCAAAAGAGTCATACAAAATGTGTCTGTCTGATGGTTTTGGTTTGGTTTAGCATTTTCTGAGGTGAACCTCAGTTTTCTGGAGGTGATTTTCTGAAATAGGGTATTCAGGTTATAACTGAACTTTTTAGAGCAGCAGTAAATTCTTATAAACTACAAAGAAACATCTGTGGAAATGATTAATGAATAATAATGTACTGAAATATTTGATTGGTTAGTCACAGCAACAACAACAACGACAACAAAATGCCTCCAGAAAATTATAATAATAAAAAAAATCAGTCAAATTACAACGTTTTTTTTTTCTTTTGTTAAGGGTATAGATTATGAATTTAATTTTCCAAAAAGGATCAATTAAATTATGTCTAATCTAATCTAATCTATAGTCAAAAGTATCACATTTTGGTCAGTCACTGTGAGTTTTTCTCTAGGAACAGCATGTCCTGTCCACATCGAAAATCCATTTTTTCCACAAACATCTGGTCCAATCATTGAGTGTGAAACAGTTGAGGACTATCAAGGCAGATTGTCTCGGTTAGAAAAAAAAAACTACATATAGTGGGAAAGGTCACCATATTTGCCTCACTAATTCAACACTCAAGACTCTTTCGGTCTTCTTTGGCTTGATGGAGATTTTATATCAGCCCTGACCATCTGTATCGGAGGGAGAATCTGAGGGGAGGGGGGTGAAGGAGGAAGGAGAGGCATAATAGAGAGAGGGAGAGAGAGAGAGAGAGAGAGAGAGAGAGAGAGAGAGAGAGAGGGAGCTTGAGTGCCAGAGAGGGAAGAAGGGAAGGCAAACAGGTGTTTTTTCTCTGCCTGTGAGAGGTGCTGAGCTTTATTTATTTCTTAAAGGTAAGTCTAATATTTTTCGCTCTGGTTATTTTAAGAAAGTTAACAGTAAATGTACAGTCATGGTTTAGAATAAAAAATTATCTTTCTTTTGCCACTGGATTTACTGCCAGTGTAACTGGTTTGACTGGATGTTCTTGCCAGATTTTAATTAGAGCAATCACATTCCTGTCTAATTACAATTACATGTTTTACAGATAGTATTCACAGCATGAAGTGCCTCCTCATTAGTCTGTTTGCAGCTGTTTGTGATTTTCTTTATCATGAATAGAGCAAGATTAGATTTTTAATACAAAAGGTTTCCTCTAAGTTAGTGTGATCAGGATATTTGATTTTGAGGATGGTAGTTTTTGTGTCTTGAGAAATTCTTACTGTGAGTTTCATCTTTATCAACATTGTATTTTTGTCAAAATCAAGGTAAAATTCGAGATGTGTAGAGCAATTCATGTACTCGATTCACCTCATGCTTAATGGAAGATATTTACTAAAGAGCAAAAAGGGGAGTCCACGTTTCATTATTTAAGATCCCCCCTAAAAAAAGTATGAATCTCTCTCACTGAAATGTTGCAACAGGTGGACACTGTGGAACCCATTTAATTGTTCTCATAGTAATGGAAACCAGAGTAATGGGCTATCATTTACAGCTAATCTATTTCATTTACTTTAGTGCAAATTTTTGTCTCATTATCTTTCACACACGACTCATCTGACTAAATTATAATCTTCCTTCTTGAGGCTTTTCCAGCTGCCTCATCATGAACCTCTCAGAGCAGATTTCATTCCTGTTCAGCTGTAATGTCAGCCCCAGTGAGACGCCACAACTCGACATCAGTGTCACTAAAAGTGAGCCACTGGCGATCGCTGTCCCCATGACTGTCATCTACAGCATCATCTTCTTGTTCGGAGTATGTACTTTTGTTTTTTGATCGACAACTAAAGAGCTAATTCCTGTCTTCTTAAGTGCAGCACAAAGTGGTTGATGTGATGATGGAATAAAGCAGCATTTACGAGTGCATTTAAGCTTTGCTCTTTTTCCTTTCTTAGGTTTTATTTAATGGTGTGAGCATACTGACCCTCCTCTTGGACGCTCATATGAGAGTCAGTGCCATTCGTTTCTACCTCCTCAGCTTGGTTATATCAGGTATACAGTTCTATAAAACTTAACACCTCTTTTCTCATTATACACTTCACGTTTGTTTATAAAAAGCTCTTTTGTGATACTCAGATCTCTCTGCTGCAATCTAATCTAAAATCAGAATTTCCCTAAGGATTTGTTGTGTTGAACCGTATGGTATGGTATCATATCATATGAAATCATGACAAATCATATCAAATCGTATCATATTATATATCATATCAAATAGTATCGTATTGTATCGTCCATATCATATTTCAAATTAGATCAATCCAATCTAATTGGATCTTGTCATTTTAAATCTTTTCCGACTCTTTCCTTCTAAAACCTTTCTCATCCCATTATCTCTTAGCTTGTTGTTGTTTCTTGTCTTAATATCTTTTCTCGTAGTTTTTTTTTAATCATTTTTATATCTTAGTTTTTTTTATTGATAATATCAAATTATATCTATCCTGTCATAACATACCAAACCAAATCAAACTGATTTTGTGTCTAACGTCAAACATCATAACATGTTGTATTGTGAAGTTGTATCATTATCAAACTGTGTCATATTGCATAGTATCCAACCACATAGTCATGCATCTTGTAGTACTGATTATATCATAACATATCATTTGTACCTCATTGTATTGTGTCTTATCATACCATAATAGCATCGTACTGTATTGTTTCGTATTGTATCATAACACGTTTCGTATCGGATCATACCACATCATGCCATATTGTATCATATCGTATTGTGTCAAATCACATGATGTTGTATCCTATCCTAGCCAGATGTATCGTATCGTATCGTATCCTATTATGTAAAGATGCAGACACATAACTAAATGTGTGTATTTAAAATAACATTTACTGTTTTAGTAGCATCAAAAGGTATTTGTCTTGTTTTATGTCTGTCTTTAAAATAAAAAGACTGTCACAGTAAGTTTAAACTTTACATTTACCACGATGAAAAACATGTGTTTATATCACTATCAAAATCAGCATAATCAATCTGTTAATTTCATCCACTAGACTTTAAAAAAACTGTGATTTAACTGAGTTTACTTGTTAGTTTGTTAATAAACTAACTTTATTTTATCTTACTTTTAAAAAAAATCATATATTTTTTCCTCAACTTTAAGCCTTAATCAACAACATTTCCTATAAACCACAGGTATATGATGAAGGCTGAATCTATGTGGTCATTTTGTAAGTCTTTAATAGATGGTAGCAGGGAAACAATGATGCAGACTGCCATCATGAATAACATAATGGATATCTATTGGTTTTGATTGTTTTGGGAAAAAACATGGTATAATGTGAATATGCACAGTCTTCTTTAGATGTTCTGTTAAAAAAATGTAACACCACTACTACTTCTCCTGATTATTGTCCAAAAATGTTCATTTGGTCTGACTTTACAATGCATTACCATTTATTATGTCCGGACCATTGTGTTTTCCTTTTTACCCACAATTTAACTGACAGACATCACAACAACATCACATGATTGTACTTAGAAAGACTGCAGGAACTTTGCAGTCAAAACATGTCAAAGTAAAGAAGAAAACATTCTAGTCTGAATAGAATAATGTCAGTGAAGTGTCTTTAAATATTCATTTTCAGAGCGGCAAATGGCATTTCATAATTTATGCACATATTAAATTAAGATGCCATTTTAATGGTTTTGTTCCCAGCCTTATTATACCAAGGAAGTTTTTTCAGGCTGTCTTTCAAGAGTATGAATATCTTTGCCAGTGGATCGCATTATCATAATATAACATTACATTTGCTGTCATTTTCATTAGATGTAAAGTTATATACCATTGAATATGCCTTTTAGGTTTTACCCTCTTTTTCACTAATTATGTATACCTAATTTATAAACCAATGTTGCTTTTATGTACATTAGAAGTCATTACTTTAATTTTGTTGTGCAGTGATGTAGCCTATTTAAAACATGACATTTAAGTTTACAGAATATTTACAGGTTGTCATTGTCTGATTTCTTTAAAATTCTAGACATTCTTCAGCTGCTGACCATCCCAGTGACTTTGTACCGGTACTACTGGGAGAGCTACCCTTGGCGTCTGGGTCAGGCTGTATGCAAGGTCTACTTCATGATCCGCCAGGTGTACTGTGCCACCACAAGCTGGGTTATCATGATCTTCACCACTGAACGTTATGCAGCCATCTGCCACACCATGTGGTCTGTCTCCAGTCTCAAGGTTGAGTACTTGCAAAAAATTTACCTTGAAATTGATGTCTAAAATTTTCTGTAATCACAGACAAAAAATAGAAACGCAAAAAGACTCATCATTTGAATGTGTGCACAGAAACGGTAATGAAACAGGGGATGTTCAGCTGCATTTTGGAAGAAAAAAAAAGTAACTAAAAGACAATTTGGAAATTTGTTTTAGAGTACTTAAAAGTAAGTTTTCCCCAAAAGCACAAGATGTACTTCATTCAAGAGAAAACAAGAAGTGTAGATCATTTTCAGTATTTTCATAAACTGAGTTCCCGGTTCTCTCCTACAGAAGTCTCGGCTACCTTGCCTGCTCTCAGTGTGGATCGTATCCCTGGTCTCAGCTGTGCCCTTTGCTCTGGTGTATGACCAGGCGCGCGCTTGCATCCTGGACTACACTGCCACCAGACACGAAGATGCCTTTCATGTTTCCACAATGTGTGAGATGACAGAGCCAGATCCCGCTCCCATCTACAAAGGAGCTTTACTCCTGAGGGCAATTTTTTTCTTTCTGGTGAGAGAAGTGCTTTTCAAGAGCTTTTTTTTTATTGAATTTGAAATACAAGCCGTCACTCATCATGCCTTTCCTGTTATAGATTCCACTGGTTTCCATCTTTACTCTCTACATGCTCATTCTACTCTACCTGAAGAGGAACGGGCGTCAGAGGAGGAACATGGGTTTAACTCGGCCAGATCCGGAGGGGAGGCGAGACATCCAGTGCCACCAGAACGGAAAGCTGCTGTTGAATGAAAAGAGAGCTCTGAAACTCATGGGTGAGCCAAACTTTGACCAAATCTTGAGGTTATTGCATAGTTTGACTCCTTAGCATTTAGACTGAAGCTCCCGGTCACTCAAGGTCATGGGACACCAGATTGGAAATTCGATTATATGCTTAAGATGTTCTGCATAGCAGGTGATGGTAGTAGCTTGGTGACTAATGCAGTCTCTAACAAGAAAACAATTTACATTCACATCCAAACCTGCCTCAAGATCTGCAGTAAATCTTGCAAATTGCTTTGGTGTTGTAGTTTGTAGCCTAGTAGAAAAGGGGGGTGTAAATCAGATGCTCATGCTACTGTAGCAGCTTCAATTTTCTCATCTCTGTAGAGGTCATTACTGTCAAGATAGGTGGCAATAGCTGATTGCACAATTCCCCAAGTTCAAAGTTTAAGTATCCTCCTGAAGAAATTAACATTTAAATGGCATGATTTTGGCGCCCCACATTATTACGAGACAGATTAGAGTGAAATATCAATCAACGCAAATATGCTCGATGATTGGCCAGTGACTGATATCAGAAGATAGATATCGCTCATGACTCATGAGATGTTTCATTCTTCAGCCTCAGGGATATTATGGAAAACAAGATCCTTTTATCTTCCAAGAGTGTCTTTCATCATCACAGTGGAAACCAAGAGTTTATATCTGCATGTTTGATGCCATGACATTTCAGAATATTAAAATAATATATAAATTTAGAAAAGCTTTTCATTGCTAATGCGGCACTTAATCTCAATTACACGTTGCTTTCTTTATCTATATGGCGATCAGAAAAATGCAAGGTCACTTATTGTCCAGGATCAATGTTTATTGAATAAGTTAATACTGACTTAAGGGAGCAGAATGGCTGGTCTGAAGATGAACAGTTGGACCAGACTGCCAGAAACTGAATGCTGGGACTTAAGCACTTAGCTCACAGATAAAAACACGTGTGTTTAGTAAGACAAATTCACAGAGTAGTAGGCGCATCCAATCGCATCTCTGTAATGACTTAACATGTAATTCATTCACGCAAATGATTTTACTCGGGCTTGATGTGTGGAGACAGTAAGAGAGAAGACAGGTTTGGTGACCTATACTGTGATCAGTCAGTAGGGGGAGCTCTAAATGTTCTTGCTTCACTTGTGGGGAGCTGTCATGTCTTCATGTTGGTTGTAGACTTGTCAGACCAGTGTAAATGTTACACAGTTAAGAAATGTAATGTTACTTTCAATCTTTTACTGACACTGCAAATGTTCAGCAAATGTCTGCTTATTTAATTCCATCAAGTTCATGATGAAATCTCTGTTTTCTACCACAGGTGCTGTCGTGGTGGCCTTCTTTGTTTGTAACTTCCCGGACATTGCGTCGTCACTCATGCAGGTCTACGTGGTGGTTTGGTCTGACACGGTTCTCTCCGTCTACACTGTCCTGAAGTCCTACTTGTCCCTTCCACTCTGGTACATTAACTGTGCGCTGGACCCTCTGTTGTTCTGTATTTCCTCGCATACGTTTCGTAGGGCGTGCTGGAGGACTCTGGGAAGGCTCAGACCTCACTGCTACTTCAAGTATGGAAGCATGCCGTGGTTGCGACAGAGAAGTTCTTGTGAAGAGGCGAGCTCTTCAGCCAGAGAGAGGATTGATGGGAAAGTTTACAAAGAGAGGACTGAGGGAAAGAAAAACAAAGTCACCAAGAAATCAGATGAGAAGGATAAAGAAGGCCATGGAAGTGTCTCAAAAACCAAGCTGCAACCTCAGGCACTCTAAATTGAATCACTGGTCTTAGACCTTTAAAGATCTTGTTCAAACCTGGTGAACTAAAAAGAAATACCTTTGGTCTTATAAATGGTTTTCCTTCTGTTACTCTCTTCATTATGCATGTACCTAGAATTCTTATGAAATTTCACATGCTTTTTTCTGTAAATTCACTGTCATATAGTTTAAAGCTTATGTGAGGCACTTTGATGCCCTCTGTGGACCATGTGGACCTCTTATTTTTTTCTTGTAAATATTGAGGTGGCGTTTCTTCAAACAATCTTTTCAGGGGAAATATCATAAGAAACCAGGCAGCAGTAAACTAATAACTTCAGGAAATATTTATGTATATCAGTGTTGTCGCTGATGATCTTGTTGGCAGCTTCTTAAGAGACATCAGTATCAAATTCAATCTATTTTGTTACCAGATAAAAACCTTCTCAGAGGAGCTTTAATGGGAATTAGAGAGTAAAAAAACAACATTTCCCTTATTTTTCATCAAAAATATATGTGCACTGCTTTGAAAACTGTGCTAAAAAGAAAGACTTTGTAATAGTGAATGCAAAAATGGATTTTATTCTAGTATGATGCTAAATCACGTGCTTTTGGATGTTATCATGTTATCGTGCAGTGTTTATGTGTAATACTTCTGTCTGTACAAATGACTCACCTAATTATCTTGAATCAAGAGAACAAAATAGCGGAGCTACAGAAAATGATGGTTTGTGCATTTCTGATGTTGGCGTCATGCCATGAAAGCATCTGACAAACAATAGACTGGCACACTGAATGGGGCACAGATGTGGTGCTTGCTGACACCATTAACAGCTCCACCTTAAAAATAACTGTTGGACGGACAAAACTGACCCACAATAGTAAAGATGGCTTATTTTTGTGTGAGTTTTGGGGAAGTGTTTTATACCTTTGTGAGCCAGGTAAAGTGTACTGTATGTGCCGTTTGTAAATAACTTGTAAGAGTCTTTTTATATTCAGGATGACTAAGAGCAGGAGACTTGATGATAGCTCCGGTAAATCCAGCTGATAATAAGGTGGATACCCATGGAGCACAGTGTGGTGTTAGTCCCTGTAACAACCACCTCTTTGACCTCCTCACACCGCAGCTGTCTCTGCTTTATCATCTCCTAAAGGGTGACGAACCCGTGTGATCAGAAAAGACTTGAAAATAAATCATCTATTTGTGGTTCTTGCTGCCTTTTCTCTGTACTTTCACCTCTGTAACAATCAGTTTCTGCACAGTGTGAGTTTATAACAAAATGTCTCTCAGGACACTTTACAAAAGAACGGGTCGAGACTTGTGTTTTGAAGCCAGTAGCTACAAGCATGTTGAGATAGAAGAGAATACAGAAAGGAACTATAAACAAACAAACAGAGCAACAAATACATACAATGATTTCGACTCATAGCTACACTGCAAACAATAATGATAAAAGTTTTGTTGTAATGATTAAAAATACTTTTCACAGTTTAAGTCTACTGTCTTAATAATACTAGGTAAGGAGGAGACTCATTCTACCCTGGAAGGGTTAGCAGCAGGTCGTGATGACCCACATGCTCATATATGGGACAAGGGGAGCTAAAAATTAATTTTGGGACATCAAAATTTTAAGTTAGTTGCATTATCTTGGCATGAATGCAAAGAAAAAGAGATAAACAACGAGTAACAATAGCTGAATGGGCCGAAAAGAACCTCCTACCCCCTTGCATACCTATCTTTCTATAGAGATGTTGTCATTTTTCCTTTTTTCTGTGTAAAGGTCAATACAATCACCTGTGTTTCCTTTTACGGAGTGAAAAAATTTCCCATTTTCCTCCAGTTCAATTCTTATTTTGTTACCACGATTGGAAGAATTTTTATATCTGTGCAGAAGGCTGCCTCTCTGGAAGCTGAGAGAAATAATGGCAAGCAAAGTCGTGATTAATTTGGTTTTCTCTACTGCTGTCTGATTTTATATTTAAAGAAAAGAATGAGTCTACAACAAAATAAGAGGCATGTTGTCCCACCATGTTATCCACGTTGAACTATACGATGCCCTCTGAAGTTGTCACATGTATAAGCTGCACTGTGAAAAGTGTGATCTTTGTCTTTATAATTCACAAAACACTCTTAATTTATTCATGAGACTATGCTGCTGGCTGACTGGATGTTTTATTAGCCGTTGCTAGGTGACCAGTGCCATCATTGACTCGTAATAATCAGGATCTCTTTGTGTAAATATGGGAGCCTTAATCATCCCGGGAGCATACGGACAGACTATAGGAATGAGAAAGCGGTTATTCAACGTTGCTCTCATTGATCTTTTTGCATTTTAAAGTTACATCAGCCAGCTTACTACAGTCTGTTATCTGTTAATGTTTTTATCAAAGCCTATGAAAGGAACATTTTTCAGCTCTGGTTTTAGTCTTGAGAGACAGTTGAAAGCAATACATAAAAGTGTACACAATCATTGGTTTCTGGTGTATGATAGTAAGAGCATTTTTTTCATATGGCCAGACAAAAGCTCATGGCCAGGATCTGCACTTATTTCCAGCAAAGTCTTTGTAACAATTGCATGTAAAGCCTGTAGTTTGTGGACAACGCAAGTTTCTTTGGTATTGATTGATGTTTTATTCCGTCAGTTGTTTTCGTTAAGAATCAACTGCAGAAAATTTGTATTTCTTCCATTTTCAACAACAAAACAACATGCCTCACTGACAGAATACCTTAAGAACTCTGTGTTAACAATACCCGAGGAATTTTTTGTTTTGGATGCACGGAGTCAGTTATTGTCAAAAAAGTTTGATTCTGACTTATATTACCAGTCTACCACACCATAAAACCCAAATTGATCGATTCAGAAAGGCCGCTTGATGCTCTGTTAAGTGTGCTCAGCTTTCTCTGTACTGGTGCTGGATTTTCAAATTGTTTTACCTGAATCAGCCTGACTCTAAACAAACTGTGTGTTTGTGACGAAACATAAACCTCCCACCCCCAAAAAATAAAGTAAAAAATACTGCCTTTGTAGCATTTCCCTTTGGTTCTATTATAGAAGTAATAATTGTTATTGATTCAACTATGAATTATTCTCAATTAGCCTAACAGGGATTTAGTGCTCCAGAGCTCTTCTACGGTGTCCGAGAACCGCCACTGCTGCAAATAAGAATAAAAAAAATGAAATGAAAAAAAAAAGAACTCACAACAGAAGTTAACGATGCAAAAAAAAAAAAAAAAAAAAAAAGAAAAGGAAACCAAAGCCTGCTGCAAATAAATTAAAAAAAGAAACGGCAGATAAAATAATTTAAAAAAAAGCTACAATGGAAGTTAACAACACACATACACACACAAAAAAGTGGCGATGCATGCCGGGGACCAACAATGATGATGCGCCAGTGTTTTACAATCTAGGCACAGAAGACGACGACGAGAAGACGAGCAACGAAGTAAGTAAGGTAACTGGAGAAATAAGTGAAGTAACTGAAGCTAACACTATCCCGCCCCTCCCTGTTAAAACAGTGACGTAGTGAGTCACAGCCAATCAAAATGCGGTGGGCGGGACGTAAATCGAAGCAGCGGAAGATTCAAACCTAAGATGGCGGCGGTTGTAAACGATCCCCAAAACAATCACAAACTGAACAGAAGGTAGAAATACTTTGTTTCTTTGCTCTGAAACAATAGTTTTCGAACTTTTCTGTGGTACGAATCTTTGCATTTGCTGTCGTACTTTCTCCCTCTTATGTTGGCTGACAGAATTTTGCGTGTTTGTTATGCTAAAGTTAGCTAACGTATACCCGCTATAACTGTGAATATTGTTTTACTTTAACCTGTTGTGCTGATCAGCTCAAGAATTGACTGTTTATTTTCCTCCTTATGTTGAACCCAAACTAATTCTCGGTGTTTCTCTCACACAGCCAGACTAAATGCAGCGTGTTTAACAGCCGGGGAAAGCCGGAGTCCAGCCAGCCTGTCATCTTTAACCCAGACTTCTTTGTGGAGCGTTTAAGACACGAGAACCCGCAGACTTTCACGGAGTTGATCCTGAGCAACATAACTCGACTCATAGACCTTCCAGGGGATGAATTTGCCCAGCTGACTGGGGAGTCCGAGCCCAGGGTGCCCTCCGCTTCAGGCTTTCTGCGGTCCCTGAACTTCCTGAAACGCAAAGGTGAGATGAGATAAAGCTTAATTCATCCCACGGTGGGGAAATGTGCCGTGTTACAGCAGCAAAGGACCAGTACAGCAAACCGGGGTGTCTAACTCAGTGTTACGGTGTGTTTGACCCTAACTTGATTTTTTGCTGGAATATCCCTTGAAGTTGGACCCATAAAAAAATGTTATACACAGAAAAACGTAAGCAACAACAACAAAACCAAAAACAGTTCCACAGTGTGCAGAAAAAGAGAATTGGACATGTTATTGTTGCACATTATCTGAGTTGTTATACCTGAGAAAAATAGAGGTATTTGCAATTGTAATAAATAAATAAATATCTTGTCTGTCAGTATTGCACATAGAGGTAGCATTGAGTTATTGTCCATTAGTTGTGCTAAAAAATTGGACTACTGGGAGCAGGCCTGGTTAATTTAGTCTGACTGCAGCAGGAAGGAAAGACTTGCTTTATCTCTCTGTCACACACTGCGGGTGAAGAAGCCTGTCACTGAAGGAGCTGCAGTGCTGTTCCAGTGCTCTGCAGGGGGTGGGAAACATTGTCCATGAGAGATGACAGCTTAACCATCAAGATAGACCTTCAGAGCCAGTATGAGGTTTATAACTGTGTTAAGAGTCCAAACAATCCGATGAAACAGGTGTCTTTGGGACAAGCCAGCTCACTTTATAAATAAAAGAGGTCTCTTAGCAAATACAGGAACTCAAAGCACTCTACAGACTGAAAACAGAACTCTGAGCATTTAGAGAAATATGACAATGAGCAAAAAAGACTTTAAAATGCTAAATACATAGACAGACTTAATCTATGACAGAAAAAAACAGTATTGACTATACAGCAGGATGCCCATACAGCCTGTAAATCTACTTGTTCTAACCTTGATAGCCTTTCAAAAACGTCCTTTCAAAATGCCGTCCCCAAAGAAGACCAACAAGTCCAGATTTTGTAAAAAATCCGAACGAGGGCAAATAGATGTGCGGACTTACAGATGGCTTTCACATTGTCTAATCATCTTTAAATTGATAAATTAGTGCAGCTTTGATTCAGAGACTCCAAAAAGCCTGCTAACACACAGGGTTGTGTTATGTATTATGCCTAACTTCCCCATTCGATGTCTTTCAGAAAAAGGAGTGGTTTTTGGTTCACCTTTGACTGAAGAAGGAATAGCCCAGGTCTATCAGCTCATTGAATACCTGAGTAAAAGTGAGTATCAAAGACAAACACATGCACAGCACCTGCCACATTAAGGTCACCACCACCCAGAGCTCTCTGTGATATCATGACCGCATTTATTTTGCATGTGTGACCTCAAATGACAAAAATATCTCTTACTACGACAGAAAGTGTGCCAGGCTGCCATCATTAGTCGTATTTCGATTCTATAGTCTCTCAAGTTGTATGTGTCAAATTGCTTGAACAGTCTCTATTTAAATAACTTGGGGATTAGTCTGTTAAGAGCATTTGAGTCTCATCTTAAAGCCTGCCTCTTTGTTCTTAAAATTGAAAAGCAGGGAATTCGCATGAGGTCATTGTTTATTTTAAGAAATTGATGATGTCATGTGCTGCAAGTGGACGCTGGGAGCAAAAGCTTTAGGTCAATAATTCATCTAAAAGCACTTTGCTCCTGCCGCCTATCTCCTTCCATTTCATTCACTCCATCCCTCTTCTCAGTGTGTCTGTGACTCCTTATGCCTTCCCGCCTGCACACCACTCTTCTTTTTACCCCCTTCTTCGTTGTCTCTCTCCATCTTTCTCTCCCATGCCTTAGACCTTCATGTGGAGGGATTGTTCCGTGTGCCAGGCCACAGCCTAAGGCAGGCCGCCTTGAGGGAGATGCTAAATGCCGGCACAGAGATAGATCTAGACGCAGGTGACTTCCACCCCAATGATGCGGCAACGTTGCTCAAAGCCTACCTGGGGGAGCTGCCAGAGCCTCTGCTTACGCATAGACACTATTGTGCTCACCTGAAGATAAGAGGTGTTGGCTCAAACACTGACCCTTTTCCATGCTTCAAAAATGTTAACATGAATGTACAACGACCCCCTTGGTGTTTTGATTTGACCCCTCTTATCTTTTAATTTTCTTATCTGCTGTGTCCAGAGCTGACTCGTTTTGATGAAAAGGGGGATAAGACAAATGTGCCGGACAAAGAACGTCAGATTGAAGCGTATCAGCTGCTTTTCATGTTGCTCCCACCGGCCAACCGCAGCCTTTTGAAGCTGCTGCTGGATCTGCTGTACCAAACGGCTCGCAATCAACACGTCAACAAGATGTCTGCTATTAATCTAGCCACAATGTTTGCCCCTCACATCATCTGGCCCAAAAATGTAAGAGCCGTGGAATTATTTTATATTCTACCTTTTTTATGTAGAAAAGTATTTAACTTTTGTCATCAGTGTATTGAAAGCATGGCTGAGTATTAGTTAGAATATTGCAGCAGACATCATGATACTTGAGTCGCAGTTGATTTTATTCCAAAAACTCAAGCAAGGGAATGTAAAAAAAAAAGTTTTATGCTTTAGAAAACCTAATCCAAGGAAAACTTTCAAACTGTAAAATAAGCATGTCCATTTGTATAAATTTTAAGAAAAAAAAAGGAGAACTTTACCCATACAAACAATAAAGTAGAGGGATCAGTGTTTTTCTTTATCAGTCTCTAAAATTCAGCATCAGAAAACTGCTCTTTGTGTGGTAACAGCAAAAGAATCACAGTTGTTTTCAAATTCATCTTTAAATTTGAGTTTCCGACACCCTTGGTTTGCGTTCTTTTGTTAAGCTTCAACCTTTTCTTTTTTGTGGGCGGCAGGTGATGGCAAGTGATCTGCAGGGAAACATCGAGAAACTGAATAACAGCGTCGCATTTCTCATCAGGCACTCACAGAAACTGTTTAAGGTAAGTAGCTGGACTGCATGTTTGTTTTGAGGGTTTTGACTGAAGTTGAAGGAAATCCTCGACTTTCAGATCTGGTTTCAGAGATCATTGTTCCTCTGGGTCTTTACGTTTGTGTTGTTGCATTCTCAAGAGATGCAAGAAAATAACAGCAGCACCTTTTAACTTTTCTGTCAGCATTTTCTTCTCACTCTCACAGCGCTGTCGCTCTGCTTGAGCCTATACTGTGCTGTTTGTGGATCCTTGCTGTCTGAATTAATCAATTTGATCGATATCTCTTTTAAAAAGCTTGTTTTATATTCAGAAATCCCTTGCTGCTCCTCTTTGTTTCTAGTGGCATCTTGCTGTGTTTTCTTGCTGTGGACTGTGTAGCCATGGAACATCAAATCCAATTGAGAGTAATATTGAAAATATCCTCTGTGTTTTTGCGACATTGGCAACAGCAGAAGTTGAATTCACAAGCAGTGCTAGTGTTGCCAGATACAGCCGATAGTCTCCAGCCCAAAAGTTGTCCAAAAACTGCCGGAATGCACAAAAACCCTCTGATTTCAGGTGCATAATAATCATAACCTCTGAGATAGGATGTTACCCAACATACAAACATCATCAACAGCCTGAACATTCGTCTTACAGAGCTGAAAAAAAAACGGCTAACAATGATCTCTTTCATGTCATTGCAGTCCCATTATATTGCACTTATATCTACAGATGTGCCTCTCAGCACAAACACACAAAGACCACATTTATTGTGCTCAAGTGCCCACGCACATTTTTCTGTACCTTCGAGACAACACTCAGGAAAGACAAGTTTATGACACTTTATCTAATGTAGAACATGCTGTGGGTTCCACCTTGACCATGCTGGTGAACACCTGAAAGTAACTTTGTCCAACTTTGTATGGTCTGGCACAATACCCTAGTGCTAGTGAACAGCACAGCTAGAGCTAATAAATTATAAATGAAAGAAGAAATGAGCAAACAACTGCCTGTTCAGTTTAACAAAGACTGTAACTTAAATAGAAGTGATGAGTTTTAATGAACTGGCAAAGAGACTGATCAATTGTGAATGTGTTAAAGCTTCTTATCAACATTGTCGCTTTCCTGTCTTCATTTTTGCTCATCCTTGTTATTCAGATTGATAAATTCCAGTCCCTGTGGTGGTCTGTTGTTACCTTCCCTTGTCTTTCTCACTGTAGTTGGGAGTTGGCTGATTAGAGTGGCTTTCATCTGACTCTTACTCTTTATAGTTGAAGCAGACTCTTTTGTAACTATAGCCTGTGCAGGAGCTTTAGTCACTCATTTACTCACAACAACACGTCCATTTCTCCAGCTGCTCTAATATTTTCTGCTCACAGTCTGTCCTTCTCGAGCTTGAGTGCTTCAATTTTGCAACCATATGTTAACTTCACTCACACAGGAGTGAAGAACTCCCCATAATAAACATCGCAGACTTCTGCAAATGCATGTACTAGACAGGGAAGGGAAGAGAACCACTTCTCTCTGTTCTTAACCCCAAAAACTGATCAAACAGGTACACAAACAGCAGCGAAGGCACAGCTCTTTGGTGGAGTCTGAACCTCCTTTTTCTGTTATTTACCTACCAATATAACCGGGGCTAACTATGTCTCGTGTAAATGACTGATTGTCTGACTGCTTGCAGGAACAGAGAGCTTTCCTTGTCTTCACATGAAAAACACAACATAGAGTTATCTTCAGTTCAGAATAATTTTATGTGATCACTGCAAACAAAGTATCAGATAAACGACTCAGAGCAGGATTTTATCACTGTTGGTTGTCTGTTTCTTGTCTGTTATGAACGTTTGATGACAAGACTCTTTTAATCTGCGTGTCTCTTGAAAATATCTCAACACCTTGTCATCTGTTGAAGACATTCACGTTTGTCAAATCATGAATAACTGTCTCAGAGAAAATTAAAAAAACACTGAACTAATTGGCTTCATCCCGCTTCATACCCGATGGCCTGTATTTAGAGTGTAAAGTCTGCTGAGTTAAAACTGCTGTTCTGCCCGTCATTTACCATTTTCATTTACCATTTTCTTCTCTTTTGTTACATCTGAGCCCCACGTATTTTATCTTTATCTGAAGATCTGGTATAGCACATGTGACCTGAGTACTGTTTCAAACTTTAGGGAACAGAAACACGTGGGCTACACATCAGAAGTTTTTGCTCTCTGTGTTGTCCTAGAGTACTTTTTTTTACCTCCTTTGACAAAAGCAAAAAACAAAAACAAAACTTCTGTGGGATGAAATGAGGATAGATGGCATTGTCTCCCCTCAAGGTGCGTGAAGGGCTTTTATTTTCCCTTGCCTAACCTGTTGTGATCGTTAACAGTGCTTGTTGCCAAGGTTACAGGACATGCATCAAAGGAGAGGAGAGGAAATGCAAAAAAATGATGTGAAAGCAGCTCCACACGAGCAGCCTGCTCTCAAAAGTGTGCCGCAATCAAGGCTTTTTTAGGTCCTGATCATGGCTTTCTGTTTTTCCATTCACATTCAAATGAACTAATCATTTACCTGCTTCCTATCAAAGTACCCCTCCAGCTGAAAAGAATAACAGAGACTCGTAAATATCAATCAGTGAACATAGGCTGTCCCAGAATTATTTTTTTAATGATCAGGCTCTAATGTTTGTTTGCTTTCATTGAAGGCACCTACATATATTAAAGAATACACCCGCCTGTATTACACAGGATCAAAAACTCTTCAATCAAAGGTGAGTGCTTTTGCCATAATTTGCCTTGTTAGTTTGACACAAAGAAAGGTCATGTTAGCACAGTTAGGTATGTATCTATAAAGTTGTAATCAAGGCTCCCACTTTTTGACTGTTTGTTGCTTAATATTCCTACCTGCAGCGCTCGATACATTCCTCGAAAATTAAGCATTGATTGAATAATTATCAAACGATCTTGACCTGAAAACTCCGGGCAAGGTTTCAGTATTTAGATTTCAAAGCTAAGTGTTTGTCAGCACATGTATTACTGTGCACTCACATGAACACATTTGTACAATCACATTGCCTGGAGGGTTGTTTTAGTGAAATATCAGGCTTAATGACCTTGTCACATGTTACATCTGACCCCTTCAGGATGACTCGACTCTCTGCTCTGGGACTAAAGACAGAGAGACCATGCCTGCAGTAACAGCTGCCTCCCCTTCTCCTCTAATGGGAACAATGGGAGGTGAGGTCAGCAGCACCTGCACAGCCAAGTCCTCTGAGACCCAGAGTTATACTGAATCTGCCCTCAGAGAGCTGTACGAACAGGTCAACAACATGCCTGAGTCTGCCAAAAAGAAGAAACTCATCAGACAGGTACAGTAGGTCAGAACACCTGTTGGCGGGAGAGAGAGAGAGAGAGGGACTGCACACCGACTATCATAACCCTTTTCTTACTTTTTTGTAGTTTGAGAAGCAGCCTTTGCTGACACCTTCATCTGACTCTCGGGCGCCATTCAGCAGGAAACATTGGCGTTCTCGCTCTTTAGGTGGAATTATAAAGGTTTGTCCCCAGCTGTAAAGTTTACAATAATTGCCTTCACCTGTCTGCCGTCATATGTAGTCTTTTGTGTGACTGCTGACACAGCCCGAGTGTGTTGCCTGTCCATGCTGTGTCCATGCATGTTGCTATTAGAGATGTTTCAAAGATACTGGGACACATTTGATAAAATTCAGTAAAACATGCTTATTTCCTGAATATCTTGGTATCTTCTAAAATATAATCTATCTGTCACTCATGACACTTTGTGAAAAAAACAGAGGAGAGTGTTGGGAAGCCAATCATCAACAGAGAAAGAAAACAGCAGACAGCAGAGTCCTTCACCCAGCAGTGCAAGTGACAGCAATAAAGGGAGAACCTCTCGGTGTGAAGCGGTGAGTATTGCGTGGTCACAACACAAAGAAAACAGAATTCAATTTAGTTCCGTTCTATAGGCTTTAGAAAACATTTGACATATGTTCTGTTCCTGAACATCTTGTATCTTGTTCCAAATACAAACCAGCTATGTGGTGTGACCTTGAAACGGATTCATCATTGCTCTACAAGACCACCAGAAGATTTACTTTTTCATGTTCTCTAAGTTTGTAACCAGATCTTTGTAACACGAGAGATGCCTTTAGGATTGACTTTGCTTGATGTTAAAGAAAGGCATGAGATCAGGTTAGCAGCTGCCACATAGACTATGGACATCTCAGATCACATTCCTATATGTCTATCATTAAGAATATTAAGTAGATGTAAATAAACTCTGTGAATTAAACTGACATATCTGAACACAGATATGGTAGAGCACTTAAAGGAAATAGATTATTTTAAGCTCAACGGAAATGTGTCAAGCTGTGCTCAGGGACACATGCAAGACAGTTGAAGTAATCAGAATACTGTACGATCAGACCATTTACTCTATAAGAGGTCCCATTATAGAAAAAAAACTGCTATATTGTGAAAAACAGTTTTAAAAGTCTCTCTGAAAAACGATACACACAACCACAGGTGGAGGTTATGAAAAGATATGAAATCATTCAGCATACGGCCACAAAACAAGGTGTGAGGTTTGGTAAAAACAAGGGAAGTATGTGCTGTTATGGAGTGAAAGGAAATAAACCACCAGACCCTGATGAATTTACTGCACAGCAGTACAAAAGCTTGTTCTGTCACTCGTCCCTTTGAACACTCTTCATCTGGTCGTGTTTAAAAGAGAAATTCTAATCTCATATACATCAACCCATAACCAGACCAGCTGAATTGTAGAAAAAACAAATCTATAAGTGTATGAAATGTTAATTACAAGTTGTTTACTTCCATCTTGGCTAAAACAAATAAAAGAGGTCCACGCACAGAATGTTAATTTAGACCAGACAAAGCCGGGACATTTTAAAGGGAACATTACAAATAGAGAGATGATTAAGAACTAAATTCCGGCTCTGTCCGTGAGTCCATTTTCTGAAAAGGTTTTTCATCCTGTGAGGTTTGTATTTTTCTGACACCTTGAATCAAAAAGCAGCTTTATTTGGATTCAACTTTAAACACAGACCCATCATTGAACCAATCATAAAAGCTCACAGCATGACCGAAGATAAATGAGGAATTATCAGATTCATTTATACTCAAACGACCAACCGGACAATCCCACAAATTATCTTCTGTTTGCAATTTCTGTGCAGGGTTAGGCAAAATGAAACAGTTACAGGGACAGAAATGAGGAATTGCTGAGGATGATTCATGCTGCCAAAAATGTATAAAGCTCAAACATTGAATCAACTGAGATGAACATTCTGCCAAGGGTCTGGTGAAAAGAAGGATCCACAGTTAAAAGATTGAAGAAAATTGTTTTTTTTAGAGATTTCTGCTCATGAACGCACAGGACAGAATCAGAGATTTGACAAAACTGCTTTGTCAAGAGGGGGTACCAACATCTATTCAAGCTGAATCCTGACAGAAGTTTAACAGGACTCAGCCTATTCAGAATAACAAAACTCCTATTTCACTACCTCCAGTGATGTTTATGTTTGGAGTGAGAATTTTGACAAACTGATCAAAATGCAAACCACTGAACAACAATCAAGTAGTCGCCTGACCATGTCTTCACATAAGTTCATCAGTGACTTTGAAAGGACTGTCAAGTAACCTCACATGTTTGTCTCTGTCTCCTCGCCTCTTCCAGGATTAAACACCTTTAACAGAATGTTCTCTTCACTGCTGAGAGAACGGAGCCTGACTGTTACTAAAGGGAGTTATAAATAACCCTCTCAAGCTGTTATTACATCTTCATTGTCCTTCAGCGCCATGTTTAGATTGGTGCTCGGGAAAGAGGGTAGTCAAAGGTGGAAGAGTAAGTTAGATGGTAAGGAAATCAGAAAGTATTTGCAGTCCAGTATGTGTTTCTTAAGACTGTTCAGGTTAAAAAGGGTTTGATGGTAAACAGTGAGGATGTTATGTTATTGATACAAGCCGATTCAGGCTATCACTTTTCTTATAGTCGAAAGGAGTTTTATCGAACTTCCAATTGTTGTTGTTGTCTATTTAAAATGCTCTTAAGATAGATTACTTTCTCATCGACTGAAGCTTGTTTATTTTATTTACAAACCTGATATTATTTATTCCTGGGTGTTTGTGAGCCCTGCATGTGCATTGAACTGTATCTCTAGACTGAAATATTTAAATTTAACCTAATTTGGAAATAGTGTTTTAGCAGACTCGCAGTGTGATTGCTGTCCAAAACCAAGTAGAAAAGATGTGCCTTAAAGTAAATGTATCTTAAGTTACTCTGAAAATCTTATTTTATTTAACGCTTGTCTTTTAAATACTGGAAAGCTCTCAAGAATATGCATGATTTTTTTTGTTTCTGCTCTAATGTGAGAAACTTAAAGGGGAGACTGTAGGTTAGAGGTCAAAGCCTGTGTGAACATTTTTTATTTTAATTCCACTTGAACCCAAATCTTATGTGTCAAAGCTGTGATGCTGTAAAATACTGCAACTTAATTTTGTCTTGTTTAGCATTATTATTATATTATATTTCCTCTCAGGCCAGTTTTGATTTTTATTCAACTTTTATGCATTTTTTAAAGCTTTAATATACATTTCTATCTTTATAGTGTGTCAGGTTTTTGAGCATTAATTTTCACAATTTTTAAAACATTTTTACTCAGTTTTTGTTTTCATTTCTGATGAAGAAGGATCGTTTGATTGCCTTCTACTGTGGTTATAATCCAGTGTTTTCTGGGAGTGTTTGAGCCACTTTAAAAACTCTTTGTTGTCCTGATCCTTCTGTAGAGGTTTCATCTTTAATGGTGACTCTGCTGAGCTGTGATGAATTATCTAGAACCCAATGGCGGAGGTTGTCAACTGTATTGGCAGTGTGGACTGATGGTATTGGCAATACTGTGAAACTATGCAACCCACTGTAATTAAAAGACAACAAGCAAAGGTATGTTGTTGGGTTTTTATTTGATTCATAATATGCGTAAGTTTGAATTAAGTGTGTTGTGCTTTGTTATCTTTTTTCTAAACAGGTGGTATTGTACTCTCATCACTCACTAACACAGCTGTCTGAAGCTGCAGGATGCTGTGTTTGCTTGCAGCCACAAGGTGGTGCTGTTGAGTTACAAATCAGCCAGAAGCTTAATATAAATGCATTTTAATTATAAGCGCCTTTTTTAACACTCAAAGTCACTTTACAGATAAAAACAGTTAATTAAACAACAAGATAAAAGCAAAAACAATCTTAAAAAAAAGAAATTACAAAGAGTGAACTTATCTGAACAGGTGGGTTTGTTTTCACCATTCAAATTTGAGCCTACAATATAAGGGAAATTAACTCCAATGCTGTTAAACATGCTAGAGAGATGCATATATCAACACTTGGTATTCAGTAACGAAAGAAAAATGTATGTTACAAAACAAAACCTGATCATTTTTTTTACTGCATATGCATGACACACTTATTGTAAGGTCCCGCAGTTCGAAAGCAGTCCTCATTTCCACCATAAGTTTATAGGGATTCACTTTAGGGCAAATAATTTTAAATCAGGCCGATGGTTCAAAATAGGCAAAATTAAAAAAACTTTGCAGTCCATGACCAAAAATTAAAAACTATAGATACCCAGACCACCAAAGGCAAACATGAAACTGTTAGTGTTTGCTGTATCTGCACATATTGAACTTGTTTAATGCAGATGAAGGGTAAGTGGGTGGATGGTAGGAGCACAGGGAGCTCTCCACAATAGGAGGAATGTCTCAGTGTGTCATTATGGTGTCCATGTCAATGCATGTTTGGTATTGTAAGTATATGTTGTAAACATCTGTGAGAATGGGCCTGCTCTTTCTCATGTCCTGTAAATATACGACAGACTGCCTCCACAATAGGAATAGTATTGTTTTACAGCCAAAACTCCGGAGGGGTTTTATTTAACATTCCTCCTGCAGAACCAGCATGATGACTGTAAAATGAGTCAGACATACTGTAATCAACTTTACATTATCTACGCTGCACACAAAGCCACAAGCATATATGATGAGTGGATGTGATTGTGCTTTAAATGTACGCATCAAATGCCTTTCAGAGGGAGTTACTTCTGTCTGCAGCTCCAGATCCTGGTATTTCACGGAGATATGTGTGTTTGAAGTGAAAAAAGATTCAAATGAGGGTTCAGATTCTCATGTAGACAAATTTAATCAATGGTTAGAGGAGGAGATGTTCTTTCCTTTTTTTCCTCAGAGGTGCTGTTTTTCTTAGTTTGAAATACAAATAACTTTGGTTTGAAGCATGCTGTGGATTTTTCTGGATGCTAATTTTGGATTAGTCTGTTCTTTTTCTCCCTCTCTCTTTCTCTCCCTATCAAGCACGTTTCCAGCACGCATGGCTAATTCAGTCACGGGCAGCTGGCAGCTACTTCTTGATGAAAGTTTGGTTCTTTTCTTGCTACCTTTGGGTAGAGGCAGAGGGTTATAATTTATTGACCTCCACAGGCTTCAGGAATAATTTTAATGCTTTTGAGTGCTATTCAACATTAATTGCAGTTAGTTCCACACTGGAGTGAATCGCTGGTGGGGTCTCATGTTTTGCAAACTCTCCTCACCCAGTCTAATTGTTAATTGCTGCCATGTCCTCCCACGGCTGTGAGAGCAGAAGAATAATTCCTGTTGTGTATTTGTGTGCATTCCTGTCACGACTCTGTGAGAGCGGTGGGACGTTACCACCACCCCCCATTACCACTAAACACCACTGTCTCCTCTTTAATTAGCCATTCATACAGGGAAGATCTACACTGCGCTGACGCTTTTATAGGGACAGATGGAGCCTTTTTTTCCCCCTGAGGTGCATATATATATATCTGTGTGTGTGTGTGCGCGCAGACACCTGCATGTACACATACATTTATGCACATGCTCCAAGCTGGGCAAGCAACAAGGCAGACAGATGCTCACAAGTGTTTGAGTTTGCTTCTCCCCAGCCTGATTCGCTTTCTTTTTTGGCTAACTGGTTTTTAAGTTTTAGTTATATTTTTTTGTGGGTTTGTTACTTGCTGATGTTGATGTATGGATGGATCCTCCACAGTTCGAGACACGCAAAGGGCTAAATTTACTTCTGCTAACTTTTGATGGGTTACAAGAACAGACTGAAATTACAAGCCAACAGCGCAATCAGCAACAAGACAAAAACTTCCACGGGGTAATTTCTCCATATCTGTAATTCTTGTGAGAGAGCAGGAGTCAAACAAGACTAAAGACGATACGGTGGAGAAATTACTTTTTGAAACTTTTTCTACTGCAGTTATAAATAAGTGATGCATTTGACAGAAAACAACAAATGTACAAGATAAAAATAGCTAAGACATAAGGGATATCATTTCCTCCACAGGGGGGCGCCAAAATCAACACAAACAGAAAATGGTTGGGGTCCTTTTAATAATCAGTAATTGATTGTTATTAAGCCATTTATACAACCTAATTAAATATTTATGAATATTAATGTGTTAATGGGCTTCAAAGGAGTGTTGTTAACTGTTAATAGTAAGAGTTTACTAAACTGAATAAGACACTGTTCATAATTTAGGTCCAGTAGCTGCAAACATCTAGTTAAAGTTAGTAAGTGTTCTTAAAATGACTCAGACTCAAATGAGTGCTTAACAGAGGCTTCCATGCAATAACGAAAGTTATTTATGACTTTGATAAAGGCTCATACAACTTTATTAACGTGAATAACCATCTTGATAACTTCTGAAAGGTGCCTGTATGCTGTAATTGGTAATAAATTATCTTCAAATATATTACAAGCTTGTGAAAAATATGTTCATTTATCTTAAATTAACCCTTATTAAGCGTAATTAATATAAATCAAAACCCAAATTCATGTTTATGACAGGTATAAAGTTTCTTCTTGTCTTATAGGCAATAATGAATGCGTTTAGTAGGCTGTAACAAAATTTATTGACACTTAGTGATGCTCATAAGCACCTTATAAATGACATATTAACTGGCAATTGCTGCTTATACAAGGACTTTGGTATAAAGTGTTCCTCCCTAAATATTCTTCTCATTAGCTTTAATGTATCTTAACGTTTACATTTTGAAACTTTTAAGTAGCAAGTGCAGACTGAATGAAACATGGATCAAGTCTCAGTGACGTTATGACCTGGTTACTGAAGCCGAGTTTTGCCATAGTGGAAATGCTGACTCAACTGAACTTTTGGTTGACCTCGCTTAAAGTTGAGAGGTAACGCAGAGGCAGGATTTTGCTCCAACTTGTGCAAAACTTTTTTAATTTTGCGGTCAAGACAGTTTTTTTAAGAGTGTGTATGTGTCTTCAGGGGCTTTTGGAGCAGCCTCAAGTGGACACTGGAGGAACTGCAGTTTTTTTGGCTTCATTTTTTAAGACTACAGGTTGCATTTAACAAAAACCAGAAATCAACTGCTTATTAATGATCAAAGATTTGTACTTATGGTCTCTGAATTTAGAATAAGTAGGTGATAAAAGTACCCCCAAATGAAACGAAAACAAATGACATGTGGTGCAGATCATCCTATGAGCCTGGTCTAGATTATTAATTACTATCTAATTATAAAAAGGTGAAGGATAAAACTTGAACCAACAAGTTTGTAATTCAGTAAAGTGCATCACCATGCACCAAGTGACATATTTATGCATAATTAAAGAGTGGTCCAGGTATTTGCCATCGGTTTTGTGTCATTCAGCAGCGGATTCAGCAGTAATGCAAAGAGTGATCAGTATGCAGGTATCTAGGATCTAATCATTACACATTTGGTTCAATAAAAAGAGCCCACCAGAAGTGCTTGTTACAGCTCTTTTTCCTTTGTAACTTTTCTTTTTCTCTCTGCCTTCGTCTAAAGTGTCACCCTGTGTTTTATTGTGCGGATAATTGTGAACGGTGCACTTTGGACTGAGCTCAACAAGTAAGAGGTGTGTTTCCTTCCCACATCCACAACGGTAATTTACAATTCCACGAAATTCAAATCAATATTCATTTGGAAAAGTGAACTAAAAGCTACAATTACACTGTCAGCAGCAGCTGGACTCCACTCTATCCACACTGTTTTAACTCAGTGTCAACCTTATATTTATTAAGGATTCCTTTAAAGTAAATAACGGCCCACAGACGAAGCCCATCACTCAATTTTCTCCTCTCAACACGGTCCAGTTTTTGCCGTTGAGTCCTTTTCAGGGAAGGCATGCTGCTGGCTTTAAGAGAGGGATTGTGTTGCCAGTTACAGCCATAAATCCACAAAACAGAGCAGGTAAGCTTGTGAGAGTAGCTGTTTATCTTTTCATTTGTGTATATTAGGATATAATCTCTGTTCCTGAGCCCATGCCGGTCTTAAAATATAGTGTTGACTTACTTTTTATAGCTTTATTTTGCTTTCCTAACAGATCATGAATATCTGTAGGTGTGTGTAAATGTGAGTGCTTTCCCACCTCACTTCCCTGCCGCAGCCACACTTGATCTACATGTTAAGGCCCACATTTATGGGGTTATTTATTCCTGCTTTTTGCCTCCAAGGACTGAGGTGTTGATTCCTCCCATCCCCGGTGGATTCTCCCTCATTACGCGCACACAGACGCACTCACACTGCCTGGTCTCCCTACAGCCTCTCCCTTCGGGCAAGAGGTTATGCAGTGTCATGCAGGTTAGGTCTCTCTCTGGGGGTCTGCCTGGAGGCAAACCTGAGAGAAAAGAAGAGGTGGAGTAGGTGCAAAAAAAAAAAAAAGAAAACACAGAAAAGGAGAGATACTTGGAGTAGATTTGTGTTGTGAATAGAATCAAGGGAATGAAAGAGGGATCTTCAGAATGAGAGTGAGTTCAGGCAGGGTTCTGGGGGGGCAGGGTGTGGGGGGGCAGTTGTGTGGGGAGGGGGGAGGAGAGGAGGGGTAGGGGTGGAGTCGGGGGCTCTGCTATTTGTAGATCCTTG